CATAATGTTTATAATGGCCATCATTGATAAGTATTTATCCATCCATCCATTTTCTTCCACTTATCTGGGCAGGGACTACCAGACTTCCTTCACCTCAGACACTTCTCCTCCATCTCCTCCGGGGGGAACCCCGAGTCGTTCCCAGGCCAGCCCAGAGACATAGTTCCTCCAATGTGTGCTTATCGCCGATACAATGCTCTTGTATCGGCGATCTAGTCCTTTCGGTCGTTACAAAGAGCTCATGACCATAGGTGAAGGGAGGAAGTTAGATTGACCGATAAATCGGCTCAGCTCCCATTTCACCTTCTGGGGAAATAACAATTTTATTTAAAACATGTCACATCAACATCAGGATTCAGTACACAATTCACAAGGTGAAATGTTTCTTTATATATAATACCAGAGCAGCAGGTAAAACATAAAACCTGTGGAACTATTAAACAAACAAGTATTAAACATGAAGTCCTGAAGATATCACCACTGTCACAGCCTCCACAGACTCAACCTCCTGACCATCTGAAACTGCATCATATTTGTTTAGTGTATACAATACTTCATGATATAGCTCCACCTCCTCTTTTCTCACCTTTTACCTCCTACCTCCAGAGAACCTCCACCTCCAGAGACACCTCACCTCCCACCTCCAGAGAACCTCCAGAGGCACCTCCAGAGACACCTCCAGAGACACCTCCAGAGACACCTCCAGAGACACCTCCAGAGACACCTCCAGAGGCACCTCCAGAGACACCTCCAGAGACACCTCCAGAGACACCTCCAGAGACACCTCCAGAGACACCTCCAGAGGCACCTCCAGAGACACCTCCACCTCCAGAGACACCTCCCACCTCCAGAGACACCTCCAGAGACACCTCCAGAGACACCTCCAGAGCACCTCCCACCTCCCACCTCCAGAGACACCTCCAGAGACCTCCAGAGACACCTCCAGAGACACCTCCAGAGAAACCTCCAGAGACACCTCCACCTCCAGAGAAACCTCCAGAGACACCTCCAGAGAAACCTCCAGAGAAAACTCTAGAAGGCGCTGCACCATCCCTCTGAAGAAAATTGCATTTAGCCAAACAGTGATGAGCCTGGAGCCTGAGACTCCATCATCTCATCTCTCATAAATGTTTTTTAATGACCATGTAACTATATAATTGTGTATTTGATTGTTATTTACATTTGTATTTGTAGAAATGGACTTTTAGATGAACTTTTAGGGAGCCTATTCCATCTGGCAGTGGGACTGCTGATGAAAAGCCTTTTGGTGAATCCATTTATATTTACAATAATAAAATGTTCATTCATGTACACTGTCCCACTGAGAACTCAAATAAATCAAATACATTAATAAAACATGGAGAAATACCTGTACCAGAGCTTTCAGAACATCCTTCAGTTCATTCTGTAGCCACAGCTGCCCTGGGGCACACTGCAAACAGCCACCAGCCTCACTGATCACTCTCACATTCACACAGCCAGGAGGGAGAAGTGTCTTGCCCAAGGGCACAATTGCAAAATGGAGAGCTGACGTTAAACTGCAGGTTTGATCCAGCAGGTTTTTAGACTTCTTGTCTGCATAAAAATAAGAAACTATATATTTAAAACAGGCTGATGGGACTAACACGTACATAAATGATTCTAAAGTTTAAACTCTACAATGAAAGTCTTTTCACAAAACAAACCTTTAGACTGAGAGGCCCCGTTCGGATTGGAGAGGCTGCAACGCCACCTGGTGGACACCTTTGGTAGAGATAAATAATATACAGTACAGAGTCGATGGACAAATGTGTTTAGTTTTTGTTTTGTTAGTTTTTTACCTCCGCCAAGGAGGTTATGTTTTTGCCGGCGTTTGTTTGTTTGTTTGTTTGTTTGTCTGTTAGCAACATAACTCAAAAAGTTATGGACCGATTTTGATTAAATTTTCAGGATTTGTTGGAAATATGAAAAGGAAGAACTGATTTCATTTTGGGGTTGATCCGGAAGAAATCCTGGATTCTGGATCACTTTGAAATTTTAGTTAACATTGTGGTAAATGGGGCCAAAAATTTTGTTTCTCAATATCTCCGTTAATTATTGACCAAACCCCATGAAATTTGACTCAGGGATGGACAATGGGATCCTCTTTCATATTCCAAAGGCTAATCCGGATCTGATCCAGAAGACTGATTTTATCGCAATTTATATAAAAATGGGGGTAGTCCTTGGCGGAGGTCTGCGCTCTCTGTGCTTTTCTAGTTTCAAAATGAAACTGAATCTGGAAGAAATAACAAATTATCTCCATATGATGTCCCAGAACAAACTAATGTTCAAAATATATATTGTCACGTGTATTAACTATTTAATTTTAAAGGTGCACTGTGTAACTTTTCTGGTGAAGGGTCCATCACCCTCTTGTCTCCATGAAGATGTTATTGCTTTGTCTGCAATGTTCCAAAATAGAGATTAACCCTATCTATCTGAAGGGAGATAACTTTAGGCTACATTACAGTTCAGATCTGTGGGGTGGCGACCCTATTCACAGCGACAATGATTGTATTTTTGAGCAATAGAAACTCCTGTAATGAATAAGTGGTTAATAGATGTGTTTAATGCTATACCATGGAACATTCCAGACAAAGCAATAACATCTCCATGGAGACAAGAGGGTGATGGACCCTCCACCAGAAAAGTTGTGTAATGCACCTTTAAAGCTTCACTGTGTCACTTTTCTGGTGAGGAGGTCTTGTCTGGAGACTCGTACAGTTGATCTTCACTTCACCGTTTGTCCCTCCTCCTCAGATTTATCCTGAGATTTAAAACATCTGTAAAATCTCCAAGAAGCAGACTCACCTGTGCTCACACAGATCTACCTATCACTGATTACACTGTATTGTTATAAGAAATATCCATGTGGAAAATTGATGATGAACCTGATGAATTATTTTAGTGACTAGACCTTACATCTCTTTATAAACAAATCTGCATATTAATACATCTGAGCGGCCACCATCTGTATTAACGATTATTGGCCTATAGAATGTTGTGATGTCATCTGAAACCAGCGATTTGAGAGCATGTGAAACACACACTGTTAAACATGTCAGCGCATTCCACACGTGTTCCAGAGCACGTATGTCCCAGCGCACTCTGACCCGGGAGGCCGTGTTCAGAATGACGAGAATCACTTTTGAACAACTAGTTTAAACTGAGCGGGAGACAGGTCACAAGTCTGTGGTGGAGTCACTTTGCAGATTTGTTGACCTAGTTTATGGTTCACATCTCTTTAATTATTGGGCTTATCCACATGAAACAAAGACTGGCACCAAGTTCTACAAAGTGGTGCAAGGTGAAATGACTTTAGGCCTTGAGACTGATATGACAAGTTTGACAAGACTTAGTTTACAGATCTGGATCAAAAACACTGCTCCATAAGCTCGATGTGATTTATCCTGCAGCCATCCGCTTTGTCTCAGGAGTTTACTGTTTACCACCCATCACTGTGCACTTTACTCCTTAATGAAGTGGTCATCTCTCCACACTCGCACACAAACACACTGGTTATTGTTCATTTATAAATGTTTAATTGGTAAAGCTCCGTCCTACCTCGGTTCACTTCAGCACATCCACAGTTCCAGACAAACACTGCGCGCCAACAAATACATAACCCTGGTCGTTCCTAAAGCCGCACAGCTTTGGGCTGCTCATTTCACTTCTCTGCAGCAAGTGACTGGAATCACCTTCAACATTTTAAAACTTAGTTCGTTTTTATGTCTGTCGATTTTTTAAAACTCCCTCCAGTGTATTTTACAGAATCACTGTACATGCTTTTAACACTTTTATATCTTTAATCTGCAAATGTTTCACTGTCTCATGTCTCTATTCACTGTTTCATGTTATGGTAGTAGTAGTACAATATTTTCCACACTATAGGGCGCACTTAAAAGCCTTTAATTTCATCCAAAAGCGACTGCGCGCCTTATAATCCAGAACCACCTTATATATGAATTTATTCGCGTGTCTTAGTACGACTTAAGTAAACTACAAAGCCGCTCAACTCGCAGCATTTCGGCTCCCGTAGTCAGGAGCATCAGGAGTAATACATACTGTGATTCCTTTTAATATCAAAATGCACCTGTCAAGAGACACACTCACAACGCCACTTTAAACTCAAGGCTGTTCTAAAGTGAAAGTGTGTTTAGCTGCGTGAGAGCAGTGGATGAGAGAAGGTGTTCACCTTCTCTCATCCACTGCTCCCACGCAGCTTTCACCAAGACAGAGAGACAGCGCCGAGCTACTTACGCCACGATCTGCCAACGGATCGTGGACGCCCGGACTAAGGATCAGTATCAACTGTGGTCCGAGCTTTCACCAAGACCAGAACCATCACTGATCTGAACTCCAGGGAACAGTAACCACACTGACTCGGATAATGACGAGAGGAATGTGGGCGTGCTGGACGCCGGAATCACCCAACTGTTTGAACTATTATGACTTATTGTGAATATGATAACAATTTAGCGTCTCAGACAGGATTTTTTTTTTACACGTTACAATTGAACAAAGTTGAGAGTTATTGTGAAAGTGTTGAATAAAGTTTGACTGATTTATCTAACTGTTGTGTTTCGTTTAATGCACCTTATAGTTCAGTGCGGTTCATGTGAAAAAAGTTCAAAAATAGACCATTCAGTGACAGTGCGCCTTATAATCAAGAGCGCCATATAGTGCACAAAATACGGTATGTAGTAGGTATGTAGTGTATTCTGTTTGTGTTTCTGTTTTCTACTGCTTCTTGGCCAGGTTGTCATTAATTTAAATTATTTTAATTTAAATAAAACAACTAAACAGTTAAAATTAAAAAAAAAAAGTTTGTGGAGCTGAACCCAAACAAATAATGGGAAGGTTCAACATTGTGGATAAGAAGATGAGATTTCTTTAAAAAAAAAAAAAAAAAAAACTGCCTCTCCATCTGAAATTATGACCTCATCAAAAATTCTAATGCTAAAAATAAATCAACGGTAAAAGTTCACTTAAGTTTATTTGTAACGCTGAAATCTAAAGAAAAACAAATGAAATGCCACAGTGACGAGACCAGAGGAGGAACATAAATAAGACAAAGTATTTACACGTCATCAGGACACAGCTCTGAGGAAAGAGACTAAAACAGCATCACAGTCCGTTTCAATACAACTAAGGCGAGTGAGAAAGCGCCTACACACGTTCACATCCGGCTCTGCTCAGTAGTCAAAGGAGTTCAGATGCGTCGCCGAGACCTCCAAAGCTTAAGTTAAAGGTGGACTATGTAACATTTCTGGTAGAGGGTCCGCCGCCTGCTTGCATTCATGGAGATGTTATTACGTTGCCTGGAATATTTAGGTCAAGACACATTTTGCTGAAAACCTTTTGTCCCAGTACAGATGTATTGTATAAACCGCTCTTGTGGTTAAAATAGGTGCGCTGTGTACTGTCTAAAGCATTTCACTGTCAGATAACCAGGAAGTGCGTCGTTGGCATGCTCTGCGCTGGTCTCAGAGTTGTGAAAAGCGTTTTAAACTCATCGTAATGAAAAATGCTTAAAGGTAAGTGAGGAGGAATTTTGGACGACTGACAACTATTTCAAATGACCTAGTTCTGTGTCATGTTTTTCAAGCCAGGTACAGCATTAGGCAAGTATGAGTGCCCCCAAGGCAAGTTACAAGCCATATCTGTGGAGAGGCGACCCCGTTTACTTACACCTGTAAGTAAACAAAAGACAGATACGTTTCATGAACATTCCAGGCAGGCCAATAACATTTCCAAAGCGACAGACAGGTGTTGGACCCTTCTATGAGAAAAGTTACACTGTGCAGCTTTAAAGGGATCACAGAACCTTCACTTAGAGGCTGCATGCTCAGACCAAATTATGAAGAAACATGTGAAATGTCAAAGAGGTGGTGGGAAACTAAACTTAAGGGTCAAACAAAAGTGCTCGTCTTGCTCAAGGGCGGGCTGAGCGGACGGGCTTCGGTTCAGAGCTCTCTCTCGCTCTCTTTTTTTCCAAATGTGACTTTCTCTCGCTCTCGTCTTCCGTTCCATCGCTTCACTCCTCCGTCTATTCGTTCTTCTTCTCCTTCTGTTTGAGCAGCTTGTTGATCTCCCTCTTGGCCATGCCCAGGTACTTTGAGATGACTCCATGCTGATTCAGACCAGGCAGCAGCAGCAGGAAACTCACTGTGGGGAAACCGGAAAGATAAAGATATTAACACAAAGACAATCAAATACTCTGCTTCTGTCAATCTACTAAAAAGGGATGCAGTGTTTGCAAAAGTTCTAAAATGATAAGGTTCTTGTGCAAAAGAAACTACCTTGATCTACAAAGAGAAGTAATAAGCATTTTTATAGGGAAAAACAAAAACAAAAAAAAAAGTCTAGTCACTTTTTCAAAATATGACTGAACCAAGTATCACACTGGCTTTTTGCAAAATTTGTGCGTCACAAAAAAGGAAGCCAAGTCCCTCTGCTGCACTTTTTTTTTTTCAACTGCAGAGTTTGTGTTTGTGCAGGTTTCTTCCTCCTCTAGTTTCCTCAAACATTAGACACAAGCACAATAGGGTCCCTTGTGAGTTTAGGGCCCGGGAGTGTCCTGAATCTGAGAGTTGGATAGTGAAATATAAAAAACACAAATAGTAAATACATGAACAAACCTTTTCATTTTACAGTATTAAATGGAATCTACACACCTCTCATTTTGTGTAACTTTGAGCTGAGGCTGAAAACTTCACTGTAAAGTCAGAGCCAAGAGCATTTTTTAAAATTCAGTATTTCTATGGTGGCCCCATATAGTCTGATCCTTACCCTTGTAATTGTTGCTTTCAGTATTGTTATGATACATCAGTATGGCAATAAGTGACACTTTACTCCATAAATTGTCTTGTATAAAAGTATTCAAACATGGATCACTTGAGTATGAACCTGAGGGAAACACTGAGACTTCAGGGAAGGGGGTTTGTGGGTGAAAGTTCAGACCTGCAGCATCGTGGAGGTTCTCCATTGGTTTTCACTGACTCATGGTACAGCTCACTCACATGATTGAAGATTATGACATATTAATGGTGTCAGTGAGCTCCAAACCTGAATGAGCTGACATGAGGAAACAAGTCTTTCTGTTGTTTCTGCCTTTAGACTTCCTCAGGTGTTTTTGTATGATTCTGTTTTAAACGGTGGTCATGTCTCTCTTCAGAGGCAGGTTTGAGCTCACACAGTCATGACTCTGGATCAGACCTTCTCAGTGTGACTCACTTCACCTGGAGCTCAGGAACAGACGAACTCTGTGACCTCATCACAACTGGGAACCACCAGAGGAAATCACAAGGGATTAGCAGATATTGATTTATGAGTCAATCCCAATATACTAAATACAATAAAACTATGCTCTGAATGCATAAGGTAAGGGGCCACTATTAGAAATAATGTAGCTGTTTTTCATGTTTTTAAGACAAGTAAGATAAACATGATGATATCAAATTATCAATATTGTGGACGTTTTAATGAATTGCAGGTTCCATTACCTGAAGGCAAACAAAATAGAGGGAACTATATAAACTGTATTATTTCAACATCAAACTTGAATGGTACCATTTCACTTCAAATGTAAATGTATGCATTTTGGATATATGCGTTTGTAGGGCAGAGACAGCACCGAAGGGAAAGCGAATTAAGGACAGAACATGGACTTGTAGACTCTCCTCACCGCTCCGGTAAATGTCATACATCTTTACCAGTGTCACTTACTGCCTAGATTTAATTTGTGACTAGTTTAATCTTTTCTATAGGTTTATGATAAAACAAGGAACTAGAAAAAAAAAAAAAAAAAAACTAATTTTGTTTTGCCAGGATGTAGTCCAGTTTATTTTAGACTCTGGGGGCCACTATAGTCTCCTGTATTAATGGGAAATACTGCCTGTACTCCCGTAAGTGTCATACACGTGTAAGACTCACGGCTCAGGTAAATGTCATACACGTGTAAGACTCACGGCTCAGGTAAGTGTCATACACCTGTAAGACTCACGGCTCAGGTAAGTGTCATACACCTGTACGACTCACGGCTCAGGTAAGTGTCATACACCTGTACGACTCACGGCTCAGGTAAGTGTCATACACGTGTACGACTCACGGCTCAGGTAAGTGTCATACACGTGTACGACTCACGGCTCAGGTAAGTGTCATACACCTGTACGACTCACGGCTCAGGTAAGTGTCATACACCTGTACGACTCACGGCTCAGGTAAGTGTCATACACCTGTACGACTCACGGCTCAGGTAAGTGTCATACACCTGTACTCACCGATCAGGTAGGTGAGGAAAAGATTGTGGACTTGCTGACCGATCCAGGCCACGACCAGAAGAGACGTGATGACGGAGGCAAAGTACTGTGGAGAGAAGGAGGAGAAGAGGGGAGAGGAGGGGAGAGGTAGAAAGAGCAGGAGAGACGGTTAGAAAGAGAGAGATAAAGATATAGAGATAGATGGAGGGGGGAGAAGAGGGGGTCGAGTTACACCAGCTGCACTGAGGACACTTACATAAGAAGCACACAGGCACAGTCATGTTTCAGAACTGGGCCGTCGCACTGGGACATTCCTGATTAAATAAAAGGTCAATTAAATATAAATATCCAGTGAAGCGGCTGCAGGTTGTGAATGCATGAATGAACCTTTTAATTATACATTTCATACTGAGGCTGTCAAAGGATCGGAAGTCAGATACTAATCAATATTACTGAACAACAAATACTGAAACTAGATAGCACAGAAAATTGAAGCTTTCCTCAACAGTTTGTGTGATTTTGAGCTTTATCACAAGAAATACTAGATGATGCAATGATGCAGAATTGAGTACTATTATTTTGTATCTGAAATTTACAGTGCCTTACTAAAGAGAAGCATTTTCATTTTGTAATTGGTATAAAATATTGAGTGAATTCCTTAGTTTCAAAATAGTTTGTTCAGCTGCAAAGCATCAACACTACAATTTCATTCTCAGGGGTTGTAAAGCTAACTGAAAGCACTACTCTGTTACACAGGTTTATCTGAGCTTTATTTTAACAAAATCTGAGCAGAAAGAGATGACTTGGTTGGAACAACAGTTTGGTTGGAACAGAGATGATTTGTGCACTTAAGTCTCAGATTAACATTACAGTCACAAGCTAACAAGCATTAGCCAATAGTTTCAGTTTTCAGTTTGTTTGAAGAAAATCAAACATCTACACAGGACGTGTTGATCAGTGTTCTGAAAATGTGCCGTTTAAATCCATTTTGTTCTTGAGTTGTCTACGGTGTTCTACGTGTATCTCTATTGGCAGAATGTTCAGTTACCATGGTGATACGATACACACATGAGCAAAGTGACTGCACTAAAACGGGCGGTCTCATTTGGTGGAATCCTGCAGCGAGAGTTTCAGCCTCGTCAGCACAGTCACTGCCAGGAGCTTGTGTCACTTGAACTTTCACACACAACCCCACTTTCTATTCCTCACGTGTGGATGCTCTGCCCAGTCATCATTTAAATTATAAAAATGCTCAATTTCAATACGAAAGAACAGACTCAATACAGATTTTGATACAATAAGACTTAATATAAAAAACTCTTTAGACAATAGAATGTAATTTTCAACATAAATGGTAGTATTTTCTTTTCAATTCTCATGTGGTCTCATATCTGTAGGTTCATGTGTGTATACTAGTCCATGTGCTCTTATACTCATTTTGATGCTGCTCAACATCTTTCTAAAGACATTCAGGAAAAGTTTATTTCTGTGCTGTGAATGTGACTTCCTACTTTCCTACATTCTTACCCTCTGCACATGACAAAAGCATTTAAAAGAAATGTTTCAGCACAACACCACATGTCGACCTAAACTCAGCACACTTTGATTTCACGCTCTAAGGTTTTAAGTTGACGCATAAAAAGAGAAAAAAAGGTTGTGAAAGTAAAGCAGAACAGAACCGCGTGAGCTCATGTGATGTGTTCAAGTTATGTGGAAAAATCCAGCTTTAACCCACTTTAATAGTGTTAAATGGGGCAGCTGAGAATAGACTGGAATATGGAGCACAGAGAACAGAGTGGTACAGTCTGGAAATTGGACACAGTTGGATTTCAGATATATTTGATTAGTAAATGACTTTAAATGTTCACTGTATCTCATAATCTATCCATTATTGGCATAGTTGGGCACAGATCAGTCCTTACGCTAAACGGCAAAAAGAATAGGGGAACTATAAAGCTAGCGTGTTCAAACTATAGCTCACAGACTAGTCTTTCCAGGTGAATATTACCTTAAGCAGTACTTTTTACAGCATGTTTTTGAAACGGGACTGTGATAAAGTCAATATCAAATATTTGTGTGTCACTGAGGCTCTAAACATGATCAAAGGTCTCAGTGTCACCGGTTATAACCTGGTCTATGGCTCTTGAGCGGCCCACCACTTCATCTGGGTTTTATAATGGGCACCCCCTGAATGTCCTCAACAAAGAACTAATTATGTTTTTAGAGAAAAATCTTGTACCTCTAATTTAGACCTCTACAAGCATGTTCTGAAATGCGTGGGATTCAGATTCAGTCTTCTTAAATGTTGATGCCTCTAGATTTAAAATTTGATCTTTGACCAGAATCCTAATTTTAAACAAATATCTCGAAGCTAATCGTGATCCAATCACAATTACAATCCAAAATTACATCATCAGCCATTATAACATTATTATTACTTACTTACTTTGTGTACTAAAAAGTACACAAAATGAATCTAAATTACACCTTTAGGCAAGACTGTAAAATGAGCTGCTCACTAAGCAAACACATAAGAGTCAGTGGAGACAGGACATTAATCTCAGCAGAGAACAATATACTAATTCAATAACTGCAGTGTTTTTATATAAATGCATTAGATACATCACTCCGCCTCAGGATTGTAACAGTAAATGTAAGTCAGTAGATTATAGTGTAATTGAGTATTACCACTTTGGGCTTCTCCTCCTTGAGCGCGCACAGCCTCTTGCCCCAGCCCACCACCCGACGCTGAGTCTTCACCAGGTTTCCACAGATCTCATGGAAACGCTGCTGCTGCTCCGTGGTCCTATCACAGAAGCACATGAGTGAGTGACAAGTAGACATGACCAATAACAGCACAGGGTGGAGTCCACCAGAGAGCACAGATCTTTGGTCCACACAGGATCTGAGATGAAAAAGGGAGCGACCTCTTAAAAGATCCCCTGTGTAATGTTGATGAATCATGATCATTGTGTTTAAGAAAATCTAAAACCATTTCACAGTCTTTGTGGAGTGTAAAATTCATTTGATTCTGGGAAGATAACCAATTTCTTAAAGTCAATCAGCAACGTGATTATTTAATTTTTCAGGCAGTAGCAGCTCAGTTATTGGGATACTGAACATTACAGGTTCTAGACTGGCTCCGTACCAAGAATAAAAATGATGATTTGATCACTTCAGTAGTCGACTAGTCATTTCTACTGACTAATTACATAGTAGCAAAAAATAGCAAGACATATTCTTGAATCTTACAGAGTTCATAAAACCAAACTTATCCTCTGGTCAGTGAACGTACCACTTGTTGGATCCAAAGACACGAGGAGCGAGTGTGGGCACCAGGTAATCAGCGAGACACAGCAGCATCACAGAGCAGGACAGGCCCGTGAGCACAGAGGGGTCCAGGTAGTAGATCAGCCTGAACACAAACACATTACAGAGTTAATGAGTCTGATCATTATAACCTGCATTTCAAACCCTGCCCTGTACAATGAAAGTGCTGCTGAGCTATAATTGCTTCATTAACAGTTGGCTATAAAAATGTATGGTTAAAAAAACAACTGGGCATATAAATAGAGTAAATGGGTGTGTGCATTTACAGAGAAAATGGAATGTACAGTGGGAGCATTTAAACTCTTGGCTCATGTAGTCTTCTTGTTATATTAGGCATTTTGGCTTTTTACAATTTGTTGTATTAGAAGAAAACGCAAATAGCTTATTTACTTGACACATTTCAGCGATAGGACTTCCTCCTTCATCAGAGGTGTCAACTAACGGTTTCCTTCTTCATCAGTTGTCAGCCAACTGCTGTGACCAAGTAGGTAGTGCTACTGCTGAAACATGTCAGGTAAATAAGATATATTTATAAAAAAAAAAAGCTTTAGGTTTTGAAGTAGTATCGCATGAGGTGGCATATTTACTATGTACGACAAGGACAAGACAAAGACTAAACCGAGACTAAACAAGGACCAGAACATGCGTCCAAACACAAAGAGACTGAACTGGGTGTAAAGGTCTAGGGACAAATCAAACATTTTAAGTCACATTTGAAGCACACTGTTCAGTAGAATCCATGATGGAAACAAAACCCGGTTTCATAACAGCTCCGGAGCAGAGTCTTAATGGTCCACTGGATCAATGAGCTTCAGAGCCATAAGTACTTTTAATGGTGCAAGAGTCGTGCAAATGTCACACACTCATATACGAGCTTTAAAATAACATACAGGTACATATAGCATTGATAGATCAATAAGAGGAGTAGTATTGATAAATCCTAAATAACATCTTCCCCAGGTAGGAGTGGGTCATATTCATTGATATTGATTGATTTATTGCAGTATCTATATAGTACTATTCAGACAATTCTAAATGCCTCAGGAATGTGTCAAAATATGCCTGGCCTGTTCACAAAATGTGAACAAACCACAAATGTGCAGAAATGACTTTAAGTCTTTAGACACCGGACATATCCAAATAAAAGCTTTGGCAATCTAATAATTGCATCAACTCACACTGCAGTTTGAGTTTGATAATGACTTTCCTACATCTTCTCATAGGGCTGCACAATATCTCACTGTCTCTCCTGACCAAGGCTCTAAAAGTCTGCTACCTCCAGATAAGAGCAGTGAGTATGTGTGTGTATGTTTGTGACTGTGTGTATGTGTAAGAGTAAGTGTGTGAGAGTGTGTCTGTAAGTGTGTGTGCGCAGAGACTCACAGGAAGATCACAGAGGTGGCGCCCACCAGAGCTCCTGGGAACCAGGGTTTCTCCCAGCGCAGCACGCGGTCTCCAGCCAGGATCACTTCTCCCCAGGCCTGCAACTGCTCCTCCAGCTGGGCCGTTTCCTGGGCCTGGACACAGAACACTCACCTCAGAGACAGGCTCTGAACTACACCAATATCTGACATGTGTCTTGCCACAGCAGCAGATAACAGTCCAATTATATTTTCCGATACCGATATCTGGGGAGGTGATCCTACGCTCACCAATAACTGGATTTTCATTGTGTCTATGTAAATGGATGAGGCCAGGGGTTAGTCAAAAATAGTCCAACAAAACTTAACAGTGAGCAGCAGCAGACAGACACACCAGCACTCACTTACTGAAGTTTACTGCTTTTATCATTCAGAAAGTTTGATTTCATAAAAGGGGTCACATACTTGAGGAATAGTAAAACCAGCATTGTCATTAATCATGAATTAATTGCTACATTTTGTCTCACATTGTGACATTGCACATTCAATCATGTAATGTTCGAGCCTTTGAAACCACAGTCCCCCAATGTAAACCATGCACAACAGGACAATTCTCCAGCTCCAGCGAAGTTCTCTTGACTATGATCCTATCCCAGAACTGAAACCAGCCACAGCTCCGTACAGGTGGATCCAGTGGAAGGATGGATCTGAGCTTTTAAATATATATATAAGTCTTATTACTATGACAGGTAACTCACATCTTATATGAGTAGAAAGGCAGTTCATTTTGAACTTTTTTGCTGCATTTTAGTTATGATCAAGTCAAGATTGGCGGAAATCAGACACTAGATACTAAAACTAGTATCAAAACTAGACATTCATTTGAGCAAGTATACTAAAAAAGGACAGAAATGAACCTTTCCTGAATGTCTTTAGAATAGTCTTGAGCTGTATTAGAGCGAATATAAGAGCACATAGATTATGGACCACTGAAGGATTACACAGATAAAAGAACATACACTATGAAACTGTTAGAGTTCATCACCTGCATGTGTCTATGACGTTCATATTATATTGCCTGGAATGGTCCACAGTATGGCATTTATCTTATTTTTCTAGCATTTCAACAGCTACATGGGTTTTTATACCCTTAGCCGAAATGTAAATTATTACTCGTCACTTGGCCCGCAGTCACTTGCTTTCCTCCACGGAAAAAGGCGTTTAATGCTGTGTTGTGGAACATTCCTGGCAAAGCAAATAATATCTCCATGGAGACAAGCAAGACGAACCCTCCACCAGAAATGTTACACAGTGCAGCTTTTGTTACACAGTGTAACTATTGATTTTATACGATACGACAAATAGCTTCTCAAACCAATACCCAGTCAACTAAACATATGATACGATGTAGTGTGATTCAGCAGATAACATGCTAAAATGACAATGTGTCATTAGCTGGGTTAAAGTAGCTTAAGGCCAAACTCGTAACGTTGTATCAAGCTAACGTGCTAATGTTAAACTAGCCATCACCTGTCAGGATGGAGAAGCTAAACTAAGATTACAGGATACAAGAGATTACAACTAAATCTTAGTTTTCTCACACCAATTGACATTTCAACCGTGTCTGGCCAAACTGGTTTAAGATATAAGCGATTATAGTCGAAAAATGTCCCTGGATTCCTCACGCCCACAGCACCGGAGCACTTTAACGACCTTTTCTGACAGGTTTTTGTGATCGATGCTCACCAGCACGTTTCCGCTCTTGTTGTCGCCGTCAGTCATGGTGGATCCGTTTCACAAGGGTGGGTTTTAAGGTCCGAGTTAGTTGTTTTTGTCAGAAAGAAGTGAAAAGTCCCCGGAGCCGCGGTGGCCTGCGCTACTGCTGCTTCTGCTGCTGCCTCGGCGTCACTAACGGTCGGGATTGGGGCGGATGTTTTTATCCCCAAAATCTGCGCAAAGCATCTCGGGAATCGTAGTAAACGTACCAAAAGATTATTTACAAATCGATGTGAACAACCAAATTGTACCATCAAAAGGTTTATAGATGATTTTTTTAATTTAAATTTTTGAACACAATTAACTAGAGTTTTTACTTAATAGATCATATGGTGTTTTAGCTCTAATTTGATTTCATTTAAGGATTGGTTTTGACTGGGTTTTGTTTACAGAAAAATATGCTGTATTTTATTCTAAAATTAACTGTCCTTTCATCGAGTCATTGCATATTCCTATTTACACATAATAGTTTTGTAACCTCGTATTAATCCTGTACTTGTACAGTGTTGTATTTTAATATCTCACTCATTTTTGTATCCGACTCCATTCAAGTATATGTAAGATTATAGTTAAATTATTAAATTTAAATATATTTTATTAGATACTGCATTGCTTTTTACCAAATTTCCCAAATAATTAACTAATAAATGCATACATTGATAAATAACAAATAAATGTTATCTCATCTAAATTGTTTCAAAAGTATTGATATAATAATCTTTTTCCAATGCGAGTGATTCTTCAGAAAACACTGTTTAATCAATTCTTCACCTTTTCCCTTTTGACACTGAACGCACCGCACTGTGCGTCACCTGCGTCACCACGTTGTTGCGCCGTTCCGCCTTTCCTAGAGCCAGGAGCCTGCACGAGCTAACTGCTAACTTTCTGAATTCAAGTTCACAAAGTTATTCTGTCTAAATAATCTGTACGTGGTTTGATCATCACCGTGAATCATCACCGGGATCTTCTGCCAAACCGACCCAGTGACCATACTCTCTCCGGCGGGGAAAACTGGTACGTATCCCGGACGTTTTTAAAGAAGCTAACATGCTAACTAGCTGTGAGCGGATTGTTCTCTGCGCATTTCAGTCGTGGATGAGGCCCAAGTTCCAAAAACGTGTGCTTAAAATAAAAACAGTAAGTGGTGTAGTTGTGTGCTAGTGTACTAATTGATTTCATGAGATAATCCGTTTTATTTTCGTTTTTACAACCAACAGATTTACCAGAAAACACGTGTTTCACCATTTAAAGAGTTTGAATTAGAGCCAGTACTTGTGTAATAAAAGAGGAATACACTTATAAAGACAACCTGTCCCTTTCTACACCCACAGGGATCTTTAGTTTAACGATGTCACTGTCCTCACCTCTGCTTTATATCCCTATAATTAAATGCCAAATTACTATGATAATATTTTATAGGTTTGAAGCAGCAGAAGCACAATTTGCTCCAGAATACTACAGTAATTTCACGTCATAATATAAAAATAAAAATACGTTTTTTTTGTGCAGGTCATATAAGCCTGAAAAATAGCATGGTACATCAGTGTTTACTATTGGTACTGGTGATGTTAAATTGTTAATATGTAATTTAGATATATATATAAGGAATTTAATAGACCACAGTACACAAAGGGCATACAATGAAATAGCTGGGGATCTGGGAATGAATTGAGTTTATTATGTCTATATTATATATTATATCTATTTATTGTTACTAATACAGTTTAGAGTATTATTTAGTATGACTTTTCTTTGATCAGTGCACTTTTGGTCAAATATAATCCCTTCATATTGTTTACATTTATTTATTCTGTAATTCAAACACAAATATTACAGCCAAAAAATAAAATTGTGTAGTGAGTGTTGAGTCTCTATGCTTTCTCAAAGCATGAGGTGTGTGGGTTTTTTTTTTTTTTGTTTTGTTTTTGTTTTTTTGAGGGTTAGTCAAAGTCACAATCACTGCATTCTCACTCACCTCCAGGCACTGCAAAAATATGTATATGTATGCAAATGTCTTAGCAGTGCCTCATAGATGATACTTTTGAGAGATTTAGCTAATTTCACCTCATTTAGTTTGGCTAAGAATTCCTTTAGCCAGTTACAGTCCCACAAATTTGTATGCCTCAGTATAGATTTTGTTATAACTATGCTGGCACAGTACTTTTTTGCTAAATTTGATCATATTCAGTTTATGGAGTATAAATATAAATGTTTAAACGATGGATAACAAAGTGTGTTTTTGTCATGTCAATATATAGTCCTGTTTATTTTACACTATGGGGGACTGTTTTAGACTTTTGTAGCCACTGTAGTTTCCTGTATTAATGGGAAATGCTGAATCTGAATTGAATACTTTAGTACCATGTGAAGCAGGGCCTAAGTCTACTGTTTGTCTTCAGAGCAATGTACAATGGGATTGGCCTGACGACTCCTCGCGGCAGTGGTACTAATGGCTACGTCCAGAGGAACCTGTCCAGCATCCGGACGAAGCGTCCGCGAGAAGAGCGCCCCCTGGATGACAAAGAGCGTGAGCGACTGGAGAGTCAGCTCAACCGGCAGCCCAATGCAGACATCCTGGAACACCAGCGCAAGAGGCAGCTGGAGGTCAAATGTGCCGAGCTGCAGGACATGATGGAGGAACAGGGGTAAGGGTCGAATGAGCTCGGAAAAAATATCAAAGTGTGAAGCTTTGTGATTGTGATCAGATTTGAGATTTAGACATAGAACTTACACAAACTTTATAGATTCCTAAGAGAAATTACTTAGACACAGAAGCTCACATATCACAATATATTATAATAACAAGAGGAAAAATATAAATGATAATAATAATCATTTATATTTTAATTTATGTTTTATTTGTAGGATCCTGTTCAAACTTCACATTTTAAGCACAAACTAAATTGAGAAACAGACTGAAAGACTATGAACTGACAAACTAATACAATTATGTTACTTTAAACATTTCATACTTTGCAATTTGCTAACTGCATCCATTCAAATTGCGATTTCAGTTTGATTGTGATTAATCTTGCAGCCTTAGCATGAAAATGTTTTTTTAATATAATTTCCTGAACATAACTGATGAATTTGATTTTATGTGTGTTTTGGGTGAAAGATCATATCACAGTTTACTGGTTACAATTTAAATTCTATCATGTTTCCTTTAGCCATGGCTTTAATGTAGCCTTTTCATGGTTTTAAACAGTTCTTTAACACTCCTCACAGTAAATAACAAGTTGAGTTTCATCTGAAGGACAGTAATTAAATTAGCATCTTTTGTCTTTTTGTCTAAAAGTCTAAAATCTGTTTCCTTTTTGCTCAGGTACTCTGCTGAGGAGATCGAGGAGAAGGTAAACAGTTTCCGAATGATGCTTCAGGAGAAAGAAGAACCCACCCCAAAACCCAATGAGAAACCAAGGTGAGTAAAACACAGAACACTGTCACCAGAGTTGCCAAGTCCACTTCTTTATAGCATAGTTCCATTTCATGGCTGAAATACAGCCTTTTTAAACCTGTTATGAAAAATATGCTTTTAATAATACGTAATAACATGATGTCCTGTCAATGTGTTGTCTGTTACATAAGGGTAAGTTTTTATACAGTTGTGTAGAGTGTGGTATGAACGTAATCCTGTATCTGTTACTGTTTAAGTGGAGAAGTAGGAGCCTGTCTTTACAGTAACACAAAGACACTTAAAACATGCACATCTCATTTGCACTCACACAGTGGTGACACTTTCACTAGTTGCTCATATTCTGTGGTTTATTTTTGTGGGCTGGGGTCTCTTGTTTTGGGCTTGTTGCTATCTGAAAATGTGGCATCCCTGAGTCACTAATAAAACCACCCACCACCTTCTACTCAAAAACACAGCAGTAATCTCACTTCATAATATGAAAATTTGAAACCTGGAAAATAGAATGGTACATACAAGTTCAGTGTTTACTATTAGTATTGGTAATGCTAAATATCTCAGGGTTGTAGGTGATTTAATTGAGCTGTGGTAATTTAGTCAATCAATAATTATGTCTGTCCAACCAACCAGTTATTTTATTTAGATTATAAGGATTTTAATGGATCAGTGGAAAGTTGATGGCATGCATGAATTAGCTGGGGATTTGGGAATGCACTGTGTTTATTCTGCCCCATTTCTTGTTACTAATACTATTGAGTATACTTTAAATTGGTTATTGCACTTTCGGTCAAATATAAGCCCATCATATTTTTTGCATTTATTTATTCTTTATTTCAGACACAAATATTATCTGGTCCATAGTTAAAAAGGAAAACAAAACAGGATACAAATATATACAACAGCTAAATAAATAAAAAAACATCTGAAAATCTGGCATCCCTGAGTCACTAATAAAACTTGTCCTCTCCACAGTGTGACAGAGACGCACGCTCTGGCTGCGGCGAATCAGCAGAAGAATGACCGACTGCGCGCGGCGTTTGGGATCTCCAGCGACTACGTGGATGGGTCCTCATTTCACGCCGACCGCAAAGAGAAAGAGAAGGAAAAGAGGGAGCAGGAGCGTCAAGAAAGGGAGAGACAGCAACAGCAGAAATACACGTGAGGACAGCTAAAATATATATATGTATATACACACACTGAACATTATTTATTTTGTGATTGTTAGTGTGTTATATGTGCAGATTTTTACTTTTAATTGGTTTTAATTATTTACCTTTGTTTTACATTAGTTAAGGGGCAGTTATGGAAAACGTTCTAAAATACAGAGAGTAGCTATGAGCCCTAAAAGAGAATACCTCTGCCTATGTCATCAACTTGTAAAAGTATCCAATTATGAGTTTAATCAAGTATTCTGCAGATTAGATGAGATTAGTTTTGGCCCTCGTTAACATTATGGTTGCTAGGTTACAAGCTATTCATGATTTTCAGTTCCCTGTTACATGGTATGTATTTTGAGGACTATCCCATTTAAAAAAAACAAAAATAGTTTGTTTTAAATTGTAAGTCACTATTAGTAAATACTAATTTCTCATCATTCTGAAACCCATGAATAGATTTCACCTCTAAGTCCTGTATGTCATTACTGTATTGGTATCATATGCACTTTAATATTTGTGGGTTTGGTTTCAGTTTGGTAGAAGACTCTGATGACTCAGATTCTCCTCCAAAGAAACGGAGCCGGAAGAAGAAAAAGAAAAATAAGAAACGTGAAAGGTGATAAAAACTAAACCACAATTTCCTTATGATCAAAAATGAGTTGTCTATTACTGCGTTATGTGTTGTTTCCTCAAACTACTTTGAAAACTAAGACAAATATTTTAAAATAAAATAATAATTAAAATTTTATTATATATATATTGTGTAATGTGTGTTTTGGACCATTTTGATTCATTCACACGTCTTTGAGTAATTCTTTTTTTTTTTTTTTTTTAGTCTCTAAATCTCATTATTTATTACCACAGAAATAACTATAGCTTAACTTCCTGGGGTCCAAAGTTCAAAATGCTCTGTGCCACCTTGATGTCATAAAGTGGTAGTTTTCAAGTTAACAGCTCCGTTTACCTGTAGTTCAGTAGAGCAGTTTCAGTTCTGAGATCATCCAAAAGATACAATTGAAGGTGTAAGGAGTTTGAACAACATAGTGGTGCACTTCCTGTGTTACCACATGACCTCACAAGACCACATGAGCTTTCAGTGTGAGAGAAGAACTCTGCCCAAATATGCAGGTGGTGATGAGGAAACATAATGTAACACAGAAAATAGTACAAATACACATTGCACAATATACATTTAACAAACCAGGAAATCCTGACTCAGGCTTGTTCTAGAATAGTTTGATAAACTTTTTGATAAAATTTACATAAAAATGGCCGTAATATTTTAACCATCTTTTTTTGTACATACGTGTAGTTCAGAAGATGAATCCTCTCCGTCCCCCAGCAGAGACAAGAAGAAATCTAAAAAGAAGAAAAAGAAACAGTAATATATAAATTCTATCTTTGTGTGTCCTTGTTTTTTATTAGACGGACTAATCTGACTCATCTGATTCACCATGTTTTATATTTTGTTTTTCAGTGAATCTTCAGAAGAGGAAGAAGACAGGTGGGTTTAATATTACTAGTCATAAAGTTGCCATCTGAGAGTTAGATTTTTTTTTTTTAGTAGTAGATGTCAGCTGTGAAACCTGCCCCACCTGGCCCCTCCGCATCCTCTCACGTAATCTTTGTTCAGGCTCAGTCTAATTAGTTTTAATTAGTTACTTTTATTTATTTTTGTCATGTGTAAATATATATGTAAGTGTCAGTGATTTCACAGCCGTTACATGTATTTTTAGGCTCTTTACAATTTTATTTTTCTGAATATTATAATTTTTTTCATTTCTAATGATGTGTTGTTTCTTGCAGTTCTTCAAATGAAAAGCGAAAAGTGTCAAAGAAGAAGTCAAAGAAAAATGAGAGTCCTACCCCTAAATCTAAGGTGGCGCGTCAGAGAAGTGTGTCCTCCAGCTCTGAGCACAGGTCTGTACACACACATGGGTTTAAAGAGATGGATTATGTTTTTAGCGTTTAAATTAGTGCTGTCATGCAATTAAAAAAATTGAGAGATTAATTAATTATGATCTGTAATTAATTAATCTAATTAATCTCTTTTTAATCTCACCTAAAAATTGCTGAGAAAAGCCTTCAATTTGAGGTATTTTCATTTAAATTCATTATTACATTATTGTGGCAGATCAAAAGACTGATATAGAACAAAAAAAAAGTGACTTTATAAAGTCATTTATTGTTTAACAAATCTCTTCAAATTGGCTGTTGAGCCCAAGTCTCCATGAATAAGAAACTGTTTGCTGTAAAGTAGCAAAGACTAGGAAATCTGAACATAATAACTTGTCTACTTAAAGACAATAAAAAGTCCAGTCTTTCCTTAACCATATTAAAAATATTATTGATAGAGAAATGCTTTATATATGAGATCACTGGTTTTAGTCCTTGTTTTAGTCCTGGTTTAGACCTGGAATGGGTTAATCCTGGTTTTAGTACTGGTGTTAGTTCTGGTTTAGTCCTGGTTTAGACCTGGTTTAGTCCTGGTTTAGACCTGGTTCAGTCGTGGTTTAGTCCTGGACTGGGTTAGTCCTGGTTTTAGTCTTGGTGTTAGTTCTGGTTTTAGTTCTGGTTTAGTCCTGGTTTAGTCCTGGTTTAGACCTGGTTCAGTCGTGGTTTAGTCCTGGACTGGGTTAGTCCCGGTTTTAGTCTTGGTGTTAGTTCTGGTTTAGAGGTGCACAGGAGGAAGCGCAGTTTATGCAGCGTACGCGAGAAAACGTACGCGGCGCACGGGAGGACAGCGGTGTCCGCGCAGTAACTACGGAAGGAAACGTGGTCCGCGCGTTCTCAGGTTAATGACGATGATGAAGGTGTGTGTTTTGTGTGCGTGTGTGTTTGTGTTTGTGTTTGTGTGTGTTTGTGTTTGTGTGCGTGTCCCCTCATGTGGCAGGTCACTATAGGACAGTAGTGCAGACATCATGAGCCTATACAGGTTGTTTTCACCAGTGACATTTAAGTTGTAGGCGATTTTATATTTGTTATTTTCTTTTATATTTCACGTCAGGAGAATAATTTCCAAGACACGAATGTGTTTTTACCTGTGCACTGCTGACTCTGTTCTACTGGCTCTTCAACCTCGTCCATTGTGCGACTGACGCCGCCAACATTAACGTGACGTTTACATCGCTCTTACTGCGCGCGTTTTGTGTGGGTTTCCGGCAATGAGTGGAATTACCGAAATAAAAAAATTTATAAATGTGTTTTGTGTGTGTGTTGTTGTTGTCCCAATAACACATAAAAACAGATTTTATAATAAAGCAACTCGCATACAGAAACAGTAAAGTTAGAGATTAAAAATGAGATTAACGCGATTAAAAAACATAATGCGCTAAATATGACTGTAATTAATTAATCGCAATTAACGCGATAATTTGACACCCCTAGTTTAAATATTGACGGGTTCAAGCTATGGCAGTGGTCCTTTGTTGTCATGGCAAATAGGCAATTCAGTATTTTCATTTTAATCAGTTATTTAGAAATCATTTGCCTGAAACCGTATGGCATGACAAACCTGCCATATTAACCCATTGACGCCGGATGCTGCGCAGCACTGAGTCTGGATTATTTTTCAATGGAGAAATAATACGCCACGATAAAGAAGGTTTAACGCGACAGTACAGCTCTGGCAGTTTTGCGTCTCTCTATGGGAGTGAATGGAAGCGAGAGGAGGACACGCCCCCCATGCTTCCAGGTGTGGCCCCGCCTTTACCAGTTACGCTGATCGCCAGACAATCCGGACAGGGGACTCTGCGCTGCGCAGCATCCGGCGTCAATGGGTTAATCTTACTGCTCAAGTCATTTCAGCTGACAACAATTATGTGGATTGACCCAGTAATTACAGAGATATGAACCATAAACCAGGACAAAACATCTGCATCTTGACAGTTCAATAGTAAATTCTAACAGAATTCTGACCGGAACAGCTCAGTGTTAAAATTTGACCATTTAATAGTGTTGTGATATTAACTAACCTGAATAATATATAGATGACACCTGTTTAACCTATTTGCTTTTCTTTGACCAGTGTGTCTTCGCCCCCAAGGTCCCGCCCACAGGAAGTGAAAAGGAAGGAGAGCGAGCGAAAAGGGCGGTCTCCAGAGCGACGGAGGGACAGAGACGAGCCCAGCCCCCAACGACAACAGTCTGATAATGTAAATATCACTTAAAATTGGGGATGTAACAATAACCAAAATATTGTGATATCGTATCGTCAGAGGTCTTACAGTAATACTGTGGGCCATCACAATATGTCGAATTACAAGTCTCTTTGCATAAATTCATTGTTTTGGTGCAGTAATAGCTTAAAAAGAGAGGGAACTACATAGACCATGATCCTTTGCTGCAGTTTCAGTCCAATCTACAGGCATGAAAATCTCTCACCTTTTGGCAAACTTCGCTGTTTTGAAGCCAAAACAGAATCATGTAAATTCAATGAGAAAAGTTTTAGGAGGAGGGGGTTGCTGCTGTTGAGGCTTGTTCGCAGCAGTATTTGCCCTTGTGCACCAGCATGTATCACAGGGCAGGTTCAACTTTTTAAAACATCCTACCCTTCTCACCTTTTTCATCCCTGACCCGTTTTCATGCCTGAATCGATATGATAAAATAACTGTTATTAAGCACTTCACAAATTTAAAGTAATTTTCATTTGGATTATGACAACAAAGTAGCATATTTACAGTTTTGTTAACCTCCACAATTGCAATAAATATCATACATAGGTTGTATAGAGGATTTTTTAAGGGAAGTGAAATACAGCGACAGTCCTTTTTCAAATGTGCATTCATGACACCACCGTCCTCCTCCACAGCTCCCTCAGTAGAAACACCTCCTCCTGCCTCTTTACTCTGGAAATCACGTGTTTACATCCAGTGCGCATTCAGAAGTACTGTTCAAGTGATCTGTCTAGAAATATTTTAGCGACCGACACGTCAGTTTTTAGACCCTTCGTCTGTTTCTTTCGCGCCATCACTGGAAGGAATCTCCAAGAATCACCTCAGTTTGTCTTCGCTCCTTTCCCCCTTCTTCTCTTCTTCTTTCAGCGACCTCAAAAACCAACTTTCTTTTGCAGCGAACTGGTCGTGGATTCTCATTCGACATTGCAAGGAAGCGACAGTTTGAAAAAGACTCTAAGAACCGCTGCATAAACCACATAATCCCCGCACGCCGACAAGTCAGTTACACTAGAAACATAGGGAGTTTGATTGACAACCAAACAGCCATAGATAAAGAGGGAGCCTTGTTTTCTATTGGCTGATGTTTATCTCACTATGTCCACAGTTGATAGATTTTCATTCTTTTTTTTTTGGTCATCATAATTACAAGGCTGCTGCATCTCTGTAATGGTATTTTAAACTTTCAATGACAATTTGAAACAACAAAAAAATCCTCTATACAACCTTTAATTGTGTTGTTTTATATATTCCTGTCTTAGATATGTTTTATTCCGTTATCTTGTATTCATCTGTAAAACACTTAACATTTGTGTGTGTCATCCTACTCTAGTCTGTTCTTTACCATCCCATCAAATTTTTATTCAGAAAAAGAAAGCTAATGCCCTAACTACATCCACAACTTTTAAAGGGCCAAACCCTCATTCACAGCAAATACAGGACCAGAAAAGTTACACAATGTACCTTTTAATGTATTCACTTCTAAAGAATGTTAATATCTTTACTTTCTTGTTTTGTAGAAGAGGTCGAACGTTGAGCGTGAGAAAGCTGCACAGAAGCGCCGTCATGACTCCTCTTCTCCATCTCCTGCTCCTCAAAAAGAACGAGGGATGAGATCAGGAAGCAAAGGCCGAGAAAACGACAAGACTAGAGAGGCAGAGCGAGGGAGGAGGTCACGCAGCCGTGACCTGGACAGACGACAACATGAACCGGAACGGAGAGAGCGATCCAGGAGCAGGGAGGAGAGGAGGACAGAGATGGGTAGAACAAAACGATCTAGAAGTAGAGAGATGGAGAGAGAGAAACGGCAACCTGATAGAAGAGGGAGGTCTAGAAGTAAGGAGGCCCAGAAGGAGCAAAGCAGAGAAATGGAGAGAGGAAAGAATGCATCGCGTAGAGGAGGAGAAGAGAAAAGTGATGCTAAACAAAAACCTAAAAACAGACATGATTCTTCGCCCTCTCCATCTCCTCCTCCTCTTCCTCAAAGCAGACGAGCGGAGGCAGTGATGTCGAGGAGGTCTAGAAGCAGAGAGGGTGAAAGAGGAAGGAGGCCGAGAGCGGAGGAGGAGAGGAGAGATTCGGACAAAACGAAACCAAGCGCCCCTCCGCAAAGATCTAGACACGATTCTTCCTCCTCTTCATCGTCCTCGTCATCTTCGCCTTCCCCCGCTCCTGCTCAAACAAGACCGGAGCCACCGAAAAGCAAATGGAGTGATGACAAAGGAGAGAAAGAAAGAAGTAAAGGCATAGAAACAAAGAGGAGGTCACAAAGCCAAGACAAAAATGGTGGAAGATCTGAAAAAACACAGGTCTCTAGAGGTAGAAGGTCTAGAAGTGGTGATAGGAGGGATGCTGGGAAACCAAATGTCCCTCAAAGAAATAGACGGGCTTCCTCGTCATCTCCATCTTCTCCGCCTCCAAAAATTCCATTGCGAGAAGACTTGCGGAGTAGAGACAAAGACGGCGGTAACAAAAAAGCACGACATGATTCGTCCTCCTCGCCATCGCCATCACGGCAATCGAAGCCAGCCCCAAAGAGGAGAGAGGAGAGGGAAAGCAGAGAGGGGGACAAGGGGAGGCGCTCTAGAAGTAAGGAGAGAGGAGCTAAAGATGAGGCTAGAAGTGAAAAAAGTAGTCGTAAAAATAGACACGATTCTTCGGCGTCGCCCTCTCCTCTTCCTCCCCCTCCTCTTCGGTCGTCGCAGGGGTCGAGGAGAAGTAGAGAGAAAGACGGGGACAGGAAAGCGAGACGCGATTTGTCTGCGTCGCCAGAAAGACGAAAAGATACAGGGAAGAGAGAGGTGACGTCACAGCAACTCAGAAACGAAGAGAGGGAAGGACCGAGATCCAGAGAAGCGCGCCAAGTTTTATCCGAAAAGCAAGATAAGGATTCACGAGAGGAGAGGAGCAGGAGAGGAGGAGAGGGTGAGAGGAGGAGTGAGAGAGGAGAGGGTGAGAGGAGGAGTGAGAGAGGAGAGGGTGAGAGGAGGAATATGAGAGGAGAGGGTGAGAGGAGGAATGAGAGAGGAGAGTGTGAGAGGAGGAGTGAGAGAGGAGAGGAAGTAGAAAGGAGGAGAGAGAAAGAGTTGGAAAGGAGGGGCAATAGAGGAGAGGAGGTGGAGAGACAGAGGAGCGACAGAGCAGAGGAGGTGGAGAAGAGGAGAGAGAGGGCAGAGGAGGAGGTGAAGCAGAAGGAGAAGGCACCGAGTCCTAAAAAGAAAGCCGGTGAAAAGAAGCGTGAGAGCAGCAGCAGCAGCAGCAGTGACAGTGACTCCTCCTCCTCTTCTTCGTCAACGTCATCCTCCTCTTCATCGTCCTCTTCATCATCCAGCTCCTCATCTGAAGATGAAGGTAAGAAATACAGGTCCATCACCTGCTTGTTTATATGGATAAGTCACAGCTCTGCCTGGAATGTTCCACAGTGTGACATTAAACAGCTCTACTTTACATTTATTCAACCTGTAGAAGATGTGCCAGACTGTTGTGCGCTACCGTGTTGTTGAAGTTTGGTGATATCGGGTGAAAAGAGAAGGAAGCAGGAAGTAACAATAAAATAATGTTATGGATTTTATGAGAACAGCACAAATGAAAATGTCAGATTGTGGAGATTGTGTCAGAGACTGAGACTTTGTACACATTGTGGCTTCTTTAAGAGATGCTTTTACAGTGTGAGTACCTCTGTATAAACAACATTACTCAGAAAATGAAGATTTTTCTTAGTTTCTTCATCTTGCGCAAGAATTCAAAGTCTATTTGATCTATCAACTCTGCTGGCAGCAACATAGAATTGGCCATGGCTGAAGAAATTTCCGGTGCAGAAAACCCCTACACACTGTAAAGAACCCCTACACACTAATGACTTATGAGCATCCAGCAGTCACACCTGTTACAGATCTATTACAGATGTCACAACCAATAGATTAGGAAGTATCTTGAGCCATTGCAATGTGCATTTTGTTGGCCAAAGTTTCTGAGTAGCATAATGACCATTTCTACTTTCAAGGTTATAGCATGTGGAGGCATTGCAGATGGGCAGAGTGTATTAAGAAAATCACACAGACAGACGCTCCTTGCATTAATAGATAGATTATAGGTGGTTTTATAGCTCAAAAAAAACAAGCATTCTGACTGTGAGCAGGGTCGCCTCTCCAGTGATCTGACCTGTAACTGTTTGGTCTCCATGATTAATACCATACTTTGAAACATTCCATACAAAGCAATAACATCTTAACTTTTGACAGGCCCTCCACCAGAAAAGTTACACCATTTAAACTGAAAAACGGTGTATTGAATGCAAATTTTTACAAACTAATCAATCTATATCTGATCAAGTACATCTGAAGTACACCGGTGAGCCATGTTTGTTTGTTGTTTCATTTGAACGCTTTGCCTTTTGACCTTTGCCCAACCCACAACCACTGATGACCCGGGCTCAATCACAACAGCACGAACCAGGAACCAGGCCAGTTTGAACGCTCAAATACCTCGGGAATTCTTCCTGCTGGCCATGTGTGGTATTGCTCCATGGAGATTGGATTTAGAGCCCTGCAACCTGTGGGACCCGACGCAAAACAGTGCGGCTCGGGACACAATTTGAAAGCTCACTGCGGGAGCGGGCAGGAGGGATGATAAACTGCAGTCCCGCAAACTAAATATGAGTATAAAGTAAAATATACAAATGATGAATGTAAGCCTATCATACATCATTTGTATGGATATTTTATTTGGCATTAATAAATGTAGTTAATACGATTAACTGAGATTCAGGAGCAGGACCACACCTCAGCCGCCCTCTCCTCACCAGCGAACCACAACTCACCTCGACCACGCCTCTAATTTCCCAGAAGCCTATATGTAGCAGCCTTTCCCATCATCCCAGTTTGCCTTGACCCCACCCTCCCATCCCCTATTTTGTCTTTCAGTCATAAGACCCCTACAGGGGGGTCCCGTTCCGGCTGGGCCAATTGTAGATTGAGATTGAGCCCCCACCCATAGTCTCAACCCAGTCATCTCTGCTTCGCTTTGTACATTATCAATAAACTTCTTCGCACTATGTCGTTGTTGGCGTGGTCCTAGCTAATGAAAAACATTTTAAGCAGCAGACCATATTGGGGACTTGGGGCAGGTGCGGGACAAAATATTGCAGATGCGGACGGGAGCGGGACTGAAAATTCTGTCCCTCAACAGATGAATTCAACTTTTTCTGATTGAATTAATCACTTTCGTCTTTACTCAAATGGGTTAAACGACTGACTAAAGCATGGATTATATGAAATGAACAAATACAAAATGTGTTGTTTTGGTCAGTTTCTGTGACAGAAGTTGATCTCTCACCGCTCTTTAATATGAAATATGTTGATCTTTTATACTGAAGGTAAAACGTCTTCAGATAAAGTCAGAGAAGCTGCGATTGGAGCTGCCGTCCAGAGACATTTCGCAAACGGAAGAAAAGAGAGTCCTGAAGCGACGCGACACCTGCAAACCGACAGGACTGACAGGGACCAGAGGAGCGACAGGACTGACAGGGAGCAGAGCGCAGGTGCTCGGCGCATAGGGCAGGAGCGGTACAGCCCCTCTCAGGTGGACAGCCCCAGCCCTCCTCCTCCTCCTCCTCCTGCTCAGAGACACTCACCTCCCCACACCGAGGACAGAACCAGGACCAGAGACCGAGAAGCAGACAGGAAAACCTCCAGGTAACGCTTTTGTCAAAGCCTCCTAAATTACACAAATCCATTATTTACAGAGAGTAAAATGTGCTGATGTCCTCTCAGAGAGCATCTTCTTCTCTTCATGCTTTTATTGTGTTTTCCTAAAGCAATTCAAACTGGTTCTGTGCACAAGAACGACCTCACTGTTAGCATTACTACTTCCTGTCCAGTTGTATCTCTTTGTGCTAAAATGAATAAATATTTAAATATCTGGCAGTGAACCGAGCTGTGGGTGGATTTCACTGACATTTTAAAAAGTACACAAAGAAAATAATACTTCAGCGATTACACTTTGTTTAGAAAGAGAGAGGTTTGTGTCTCAGTGCGAACACTCATTTTGAGGCATAAATATAATAAATATTTAAACAAGACTTTAATTTGAATAGGTTGTTTATTTTTTGTCTAACAATTTTAATAAATGTGCTAGTTATCTCTGAGACACAGTGAGCTACAGTAGTCAGTGTCCATTCTGTTTTGTCTGGTATTTTGTAGGTCAAGTCCTCAGGCCAGACGCTCTTCTCCACCACAGAAAAGCTCATCCCCCCCACATCGCCGCACCCCACCCCGGCAGTACCAAGACCCTGCACCATCGAGGGGGAGGCGCGCATCTCCTCCCAAAGGCTGGTCTGAGCGGGACAGAGAACGGGACAGAGAACGGGACAGAGAGCGAGAGAGAGATCGAGAGAGAGATCGACCAAGGGACAGAGACAGAGACTTTGAGAGACAACGGGACAGGGACAGAGAAAGAGACAGAGAGAGGGACAGGCAGAGAGACAGAGAGAGGGAGAGAGATAGGGAAAGAGAGAGAGAAAGAGAGAGAGATGGAGGACGGCCGATTCGGAGGAGCAGGTCCAGGTCACGAAGTCCAAGACGAACCCCACCTCTGAACAGGTAAGACGTTTGGAAAGCTGGACTTCTGCTGTAATAAGAATGCATTGAATTTATCATGAAGTGTCTAAGGTAACCCATCCCTCTGCCAGAAAACACACTGGGGTGGGTTAAAGTAAGTCTTACTTCTTCTCAGTCCGTTTCAGGCATTAACTCTTTTCCCCCATGAAGACGATATTTGACGACCCCCTTGTTTCCTTAATGACGTGTTTTGACACCTCCGCTGTTTCACTAAAGACGTGATTTGACGACCATTAGAAACAGTCCTGGTTTTTTACATGTAAACAGAGGCTTTGATAGTTGGGGGCCACTACAACCCACACTAGACTGACCAATATGATTCCAGGATATGTTTTTGCAGATTTTTTCCAAAGTTAATCGAAGTAGTGACGATTGTAGCTTCTGTTAAAAACACAACACGAAACATGAGCAATGAAATGACTGCGGCACACAGTTTTAGAAATAATTACAAGCAGGTGTATTTTATGGATAACTTTAGAGAAAGTGACTTTTATAGATTTCAAAGTGATGATGAAATTGTTTATAAAGTGGAAAACAGCGGAATTTCGGAGAGTGAAACTTATGAAGGTGAGAATGCTGCTGATGCATCTGTCTGGAGTCCTGCAATATCCAAACAAACTGTCGGGAACATTATACTCGATTATGAACCAAAATTGTCCTGAAATCTGGATGTTGCTCAGGCGAGTCCTTTGAAATATTTCAGTCTTTTTTTTCCAAGATGTATGACACAATTGCTACAGCAACAAACACTTATGCAGAGCTCTGCACATGAGAAAGTATCCAAGATGACAAATACTGGACACCCACTGACGGGGAAGAGTTAGTTCTAAGTTTAAAGTCTAAGGTTTCCAGAGACACCAAATATGTCTGTTTCAGTGAAGTTCATGAGTGTGAAAATCATTTATAATCACTTGTGGAAGTCTGTTTTCTTTTATGCGGTTATGTTCTATGGGTGGCCCTAGTAATATATGTATGGGTTGTTCCTAGTAGGCGTCCAAGGGGGAAAGAGTTAATCTTTCGTTTGTATGGGTCAATCTTGGGTCAAACTGTACAAATTGTGTTCATTCTGGTATTCTCAGTGGTCTCCCATCCTAGCACTAACCAGGCCCAGCCCTGCTTAGTTTCAGAGATTACAGAGAGGCAGTCAGGCATTCATTTTGAGAGTGGTGCAGCCTCAAAACTACAAAGTTGACAAGTTGTATATCAGCAGGAACAGGGAGAAAGTATATCTCTTTAAAATGTTTGGCCTTTTGCAATTTTTACTTACAATAGTGTGCAGTATTTTAGTAACAAATAACTATATTCTATTTTTTTTCTCTGTACTTCAGGTCGAAAAATGTGTCTCCGCCCCCACAGCAGAGGAGGAGGAGTCGCTCTACTTCACGAGATCGAGGCAGAGCTCCACGAGAGGCAGACAAACCGCGAGCTCCACCAAAAGAAGCTCCCAAACGTTCTTCTTCATCCTCCTCTTCGTCCTCCTCCTCCTCTTCCTCCTCACCTTCACCAGAGCGACAGAAACAGGCCCGAAAATCCCCTCCAAACCCAGACACGCGCACGGACGATCAGAAGGCGCGCTCCAGTCTCTCATCCTCTAAAGCCCCGCCCACCGACAGACGCCAGTCACCGGCTGTGAGCCAATCAGAGAGTGGAGGCAGGGAGCGGGAGGCGGAGCTCAAGGGGAGGAGCGAAGTGAACGGAAAACAAACCAAAACGGACAAAAAGACGGATAAAAAACGACACAGCAGCAGTTCCTCCTCATCCTCTTCATCGTCATCGTCCTCTTCCTCGTCATCCTCAGACAGTTCGGACTCAGAGGGGGAGCAAAAGAAAGGGTAAGCTTTGGTTGTGTCTATGGGCAAGACACTTCTCTCATATCATCTTTTATCAGCAGTCATAGTTACTCGTAATATTAATAGAGCTTGGTTTGCTGTGGCACCACTTCTGCACAGGGACAGGTGTATGATGTTAATACTATATTGAACTACCGTATTTTCCGGGCTATTAGACGCGCTCTTAAGCCTCGAACCCCATCAAAAAAACAACTGCGTGCCACAACCCAGAGCGCCCTATACACAAATCCACTCGAGTGTCCCAGCAAGACTTCAGTAAACTACAAAGCCGCACCACCCGCAGAACACGCAAACACACACGGAGCAGACAGCGACCGCACAGCGAAACACACCCACAGACACACCCACAGACACACTCATCACTCCACGCCGACGAGGAACGGAACGGAGGAACGAACCGAAAAAGCGAGTGCAATGTGCCACTTCTAGACACAACTGAACAAAGCCCAGAGTCACCATGAACGCGACAAACAAACAAAACCACTGACCTATACAATTGTTGTGTTTCCTTTAAAGTCCAATGCGGTTTATTTGTGAAAAAAGTTAGAAAATAGACCATTTAATGACGGTGTGCCTTATAATCGTAGTCCTAGCCCAGAAAATACGGTAAATGAAAAACCCAAATAAGGGCGGATAAGGCAGATAAGGTGCGGAGTTTGCATGTTCTCCCTGTGTCTGAAGGAAACGTGCACAGTAGGTCAAATCCTGCAGCTAAGGTCCTGACCAAGACTAGGCAGAGATCTGGAGATGGGTCTCACTGCTCCTGACAGGTTTAACCCAGAGGATGGGTCCAATACAAAGGATGAATCTCCCTACCTACAGGTCATACATATCAGTGGTCCCCAGTAGGGATGGGCACGATTAGTCGATTAATCGATAATTGATCATTAAGAATTTCGTCGATTACGTAAATTTTTAATCAAAAAACCGAATGTAGGTTTCTGTGCGTAGCGTAAGGAGACGAGGCCGCGTCTGACAGCGCAAACACTGGAGCTGCGGCCTCATCAACCATCGTTATACACAGCACGATATACACAAAGAACAGACTCACCATTAGCATCAACATCCCTCCGTCACAGAAAAAACACCTATATTCCACTGAGTTGTGTCCTTTATTCCAGCAGAAGTTGAACGGCATCAGCGCACAAGAGCTGTTTTTTTTTTTTCCCTTCACTCAGTTTATGCAAATGAGCCATGTGGTTTTAAGTTTAGTTTCTGTGAGTCTTGTGCAAAGCTGCATTAAACCCATTCTAATGTCAAACGGGCTGATGTGGCTCTAGAGTGGTTATGGTTTATATGTTGTAAAGTTAAGTTTATTTATGCAGATTAGTTGTGCAGATAGTAATAATAATGATGATAATTTTAATATAAAAAAGTTAATGATTAATCTAAAATTGATCATTAATTCTACTGACGATGGATTAAGAAAATTTAATCAAATGCCCATCCCTAGTCCCCGACCTTTTTTGCACCATGAACCAGTTTTATATCAGACAATATTTCGCGGACCGGACGGGGTTGGGGAGAGGGGTCCACGCGGCATGGTTAAGTCCTGGCTAAATCCTGGTTTTAGTCCTGGTTTTACACCTGGGTTAGACCCTGTTTTAGTCCTGTTTTAGTCCTGTTTTAGTCCTGTTTAAGTCCTGGTTTAGAGACGGTTTTAGAGCCGGTTTTAGAGCTGGTTTTAGAGCCGGTTTTAGAGCCGGTTTTAGAGCCGGTTTTAGACCCGGTTTTAGACCCGGTTTAGACCCGGTTTAGTCCTGGTTTAGTCCTGGTTTTAGTTCAGGTTTAGTTCAGGTTTAGTGGTGCAGCCCGCGTGGTGTACGGGAGGGGGGAATGGTCGGCGTGGTGTAGGGGAGGGAGGGTTCATGCTTTTGTGGCCCGGTACCAGTCCCCGGCCCGGGCGTTGGGGCCCCTAGATATATATCTTAAGCTTACATATGTGTACTTAAAGCAGATAACACAACTAAGCCAAGTTGCATGTCAGATCTATGCAGAAGCGAGCCCACTCACAGTAAGAATGCAAGTTTTTAGGTCAATAAAAACCCTGTTATGTTATTATTGTTATTGAGAAAATGCAAGATGGGTGTGTTTAATGCCATAGCAGGATCAACTGTAGACTATAAACAAATATGGAATTTTCTTGAAATTACCGCCTTTGAAAAAGCCAGTGTGTTGAGAGTAGTTTTGGTTCTATTTAGGGTTTAGGGTTGCCAGATGTTTAACCCAAATTATCTATTGCATATGATGAGGACTGGCAGTAACAATAACATTTTGTGCTTCAGGAAAAAGGCTCAAACCACCACTCAGAGCTCCGAGTCGTCGTCCTCCTCTTCTGAAGACGAGAAGGAAACTAAGAATAAGAGGTGAGAGCTGATCGAGCCTGTCCTGTTGTAACCTGCAAGAAGGACTGCAGCCAAATCCAAACACAAAATGAACAGAGAGATAGAGCTATGACTAACTACGGTTGTTATAAAATACTTGGCACACATTTACATTTGACTTTAAAAAACATGGCATAGAGCAAAGACCATGGTGAATAAACTGTGACTGTGCAACTTTTTAATAAAAAAATAGAATAACATAAAATAATGTGTATATTGCACTGAAAAACATAGAAAAATCTGGATCCTTGCTGTGAGCGGGCTTGCCTCTCCACAGATTGTACTTATTATTATTCACGTAGACTTTGTCATGTTCTCTCCGTGTCTGACTCCTCTTCTTTGTGTTATTTTGCACTTTAGAGTCTTTTTTTTTTTTCTGTTTTAGAGTTTGAATTGGACATGTTTCTTCTTCTTGTATATTTCAGCAACTCTTCTGGCCGTGAGAGGGTTCCTGCTGATTCGCTCAGAGACTCGCGCTCGCTCAGTTACTCTCCACCCAGACACATGAGAGGCAGCCGCAGGTCAGTCCTGTCAATCACAGAATTAAAAGAATTTAAAGTAATAATAGCCCATAAGATACAATTATTTTTTGCTAAGAGGATATAGTTTATGTAAGAACTAAATGTCCCTGTGTGTCCATAGGGTCTTATTCTATGTAAAAACTGCTAACCCTGTAGTTTAAACCTCTGCAAACATACATGGGATTCTTGTTTTATATTAGCACTTCAGACTTCAGTCTTCTCACAAATGTTAAACACAATGTCTCAAATCTATACAGATCTTAAACTTGCACACAAATTTTCTGCAGTATGACATTAAACAGATCTACCTCACATTTATTCAGTTACAGGTGGTTTTATGGCTCAAAAATACATAGAGAAACAGGCGTTCTGACTGTGAGCGGGGTCACCTCTCCACAGATCTGACCTATAACTTGGTCTGGTTTGGTCTCCATGAAGATAGAAAGGTTTAGTACCATACTGTGGAACATTCCAGACAAAGCAATAACATCTCCATGGAGAAAAGCATTTGACAGACCCTCCATCAGAAAAGTTACACAATGCACCTTTAAATACAGGGTAGCCGCGGGGTCTTACAAGTCTTAAAAGCTCTTAAATTTCATGTTCCTAAATTAAGGCCTTAAAAAGTCTTAAATTATGTTGTCCAAGTCTTATTTTTTTCACAAAGTTTTTAAATGTCATTAGCCAGTTTTTTTGGGTACTCAATCGGGCTGCAGTGTAATGTTAGAGGGGGGGGGGAAAGACAACCTGAAATCACGTAATGTGAATGAACGTCTAATTTAGAGTATGTGCAAACAATACTTTGGTTTCTGGTGCCCGCGGCAATGAGTAAACAGTCAGTAGAGTGGAAGAAGACGCTGGATGCATCATGGAAGTGCAGGTTTAATCCACAGTGGCTCTTAGATTGTAGATAATAGTACCTTAGTTGGTTGGTCATTATTAGAACTGGGTCTGGTGTTTTTCGTCCGCATAATGGGGTCAATGTTGGTCTTAATTTAAGGGTCTTAAAAAGCTCTTAAAGTCTTAAATATAATGTAGTCAAATCTGGGGATACCCTGAAATATAATTGTACCCAGTTTAATAAATCTGCCCTCACTAATATTTTTTTTTCTTCAGCAGTGGCAGCCGTCCGTCTCCCAGTCGCTCGTCCAGCAGCAGAAATAAGAAATGATCCATGTTTTTTTACCCAAACTGACCCTGGTCCAGTCTGAGGAGGGACTCTGCTCTGGAGCCTGTGACCTCTGACCTCCGACCCTGCCCTCTGACCCTGCGCTGGGCCCGGACTTTTCTTCTTATTCTTTTACACAGTGAAGTAGCCCTACTGCTGGTGTTCTGTGTTTATGTAGATATGAGCTGAACCATACCATGGTTTCTCCTTATGTAACAAAGATTAAGTGATTTGGAATTCTTGTTGGCAGAATCTGCAACTCGTACTTTTATTTCTTTGTTGAAATTGTTAATATTAATAAAACGTAACTGTACATTTTAGCTCTGTGTATGTTTTAGTCCTGTCTTTATTTTAGTCTATCAGTGATCCTCTAATTTAAATTTTACTACTAATTGCTACTGAACCATAGTGTTGTCAGAAGTATTGAAAATCAGATTCTAACTGATACTAAAACTTGTATTAGTTTAGTTTAGTTTATGTATTTAATGAGACAGGGACAGTGCACAATCTACATGAACCTTAACAGGAGAGATGCTTTGTACCAGGTTATAGCACCAGTGCTCATTTCCACTTGTCATCTCTGGGCAGGTGCATGTTATAGTTCATCAAATCAAACATATAAAGAGAATGTCTTTGTAATGTCCAGAGCATCAGAACAATTCTGTATCATCATTCACTCCCAGTTCTCTCAGCACCTTAAAAACATCTTCCTTATCAGAATCATAATTCAGTTCATTCACTCCAGAACATCATTCTCCTCAGCCTCTCATCAGTCCACATTATGGGTGCAAGTTTGGTTTGGTTTGAGGAGCCAGGCATGAGAACGTGCCGTAGTTTGCTCTGTTGGTTACATGTTCCACTGACGGACGGCCGCACATGAAAAGGCTGAGTTTCCAGATACTGTCCTGTGTTTGTGGATCCTGCACTCGCCGTGCACAGTGGATCGAGTGATTCGGGAGGTGGTTTCAGAACTCAGCGAAAAACTGTTTTAGTGGTGGAGCTGCAGTATCATGAACAATCCTAAACAGCAGACAAATATTTGCATACATTATCAGGTTTTCAAAACTTAGAATGTTGAGTTTCACAAGAATGTGACAGTGGTGGAATAGGTGAGTTTTCTTGTCATGGATCTTGAGAGCACTTTTATATAATGATTCTAGAGACCTCAGAGCTGATTTACAAGCCTGTGACCAACTTGTTCTGCAGTAAAGAAAGTGTGGCGTTATCATTGCATTTAGAGGCACCTGAGGCCTCAGTAGTCAGGGCGTTTCTGATGTATCTGAAATTGGCCATGTTGAATTTTATAGTGTTGAGTTTTAAATGTGCTTTTTAAAACATAAAGTTAGTTCCAGAATAATTCCTAGATATTTTATGTGATCAACATTATTGATCATATTGACCTATCAGAATTTCAAGATAGTTTTGAGGTTTGTGACAATTTGTAAAAAACATAGAAACAATTTTGTCAATATTTAAAGTGAGACAAGATTTTTTCAACCAAGCAGAAACCTTAGTCACCTCCTCTGACAGGAGGAAGTAGATACTGATCTGAGCAGGTATTAAAAAGTCTCATTCACAGGACAGAAAATAAGCTTTGCTGATTGTCTTTAGAATGATCTGGAGTTGTATCAGAACTAGTACAAGAGCACAGAGGAGATTACTATGGCTAGTATACGCCCAAAAACTGAATCCAGATAAACCACTCAGGCCCACTGTTACATAAACAGCTGGCTTATTAAAGATTCACCATTTAACTTTTGTGTGAGGTTGCTGCTTGTGTAAATGGAGATGTTATTCCTTTGCCTTACATGTTCCACAGTGTGGCATTAAATCCATGGAAATACGCTGGTGATCAGGCAACCAGGCCAAGTCACAGGTCAGGTCTGTGGAGAGGCATGCCAACTCACAGTAAGAATGCATATTTTTCAGCAAATTAGTATTTTGTAATGTAATTAGTAATACAAACAACTGAATGAAAGTATGTTTATGCCATACTGTGGAACATTCCAGGCAAAGCAATACCATCTCCATGGACACAAGCAAATAGATAAAAATAAATCTTCACCAGAAAATGTAAGTAGTGAGCCATTAATGTAAAGACGAACATCAATGTTGAAAGGCACAGTATGTAACTTTCTGGAGGTGTTGCGTCACCTCCATGATTCCTGGAAATATAAAGTTAAAACCATACTCCGGAACATTCTCCATAGGTGAAACTTACTTTTTATGCTATACTGTGCAGTACTATAGATTCTTTATACAACAACATTTCCATGGAAACAAGCAGTCCACATAAAAGTTGGGGGCCAAACTTCCATACTGTGGCTTTAAGCAATGAGGGTTTAAAGCACCAATTACAGTTTAAGGTGTGTCTAATTTGGTTCCTTCTTTGCTTTCTTTTCAAAACAAAAATATGAATCTGTGTTTTAGTAGCATAATTTTTTAAGCTCTAGTTTGAGTAACTTTTAGGGTACATTTTAGCATACCACTCTTCTTTTTAGCTATTCGGGGACTTCGTTGTATTGTAATTCTTGCACAATATGAGCCCTTGCATTTTTCTGAAAAACTATTGCACAAATGTAACTGACATAACTGAGGCATGACTCCACTTCACTGTTCAGTCCACACACTGTTCTCAACATAAGACTCCTGTCTGTCCCAGAGCTGTTTTAACCAGTGTACTTTTCCTTTCTCTGTCTGATAATCAGCTTCTGAAGGCTTTATTAATATTTATGAGAGGTGGGTAGAGTTACCAAACATTAAGAGTACTGTTACTTCAAAATAATATTACTCAAGTAGAAGTACAAAGTAGTGGTAAGAAATGAGTTGAGTAGTTTTATCTGAAGTAAGATCAACTTTCTGGACCTAACATCTGATGTATAATTTGAAGTGATTTTAATTGGAAGGACTAAACACTAAATAATGCCCAAATCTGGTATTTTCAAAGGACAGACAAAAATGAGACAAACTAATTAATATCTGAAGGAGCGGTACAAGAAACACAAATGTTCAATACTGTCAACATAAAGCTTTTGTCTCTTGTTACTCCCACTGGAAAGAGAAACCACTCAAGTATAAGTACTGTTACACTGTTAACTATATTACATTTACAGATCCAGTTTTGTTAAAAGTTAAGCAGTAAAATACATTTGATTGTAGAGTTATTAATTTATAGTGATTAGACAGCGATAGCTATATCCAGTGTTGGGGAGTAACAGATGTACTGGAGTTACGTAATCAGAGTACAAATTATGAATAACTGTATTCAGTTACAGTTACTGTTTCAGTGAGTGGTAATTGGATTACAGTTACTTTGTTAAAATAAATGGATTACAAAGAGGTATTTTCCTGTTTTCACTTTTTTTTTTTTTTTTTTTGGTAATTCCACTCATTGCTGGACACTAAACCAGGACTAAACCAGGTCTAAACCAGGTCTAAACTAGGTCTAATCCAGACCTAAACCAGGTCCAAACAGGTCCAAACCAGGTCTAAAACCAGGTCTAAACTAGGTCTAAACTAGGACTAAACCAGGACTAAACCAGGTCTAAAACAGGACTAAAACCAGGTCTAAACTAGGTCTAAACCAGGTCCAAACCAGGTCTAAACTAGGTCTAAACTAGGACTAAACCAGGTCTAAACCAGGTCTAAATCAGGTCTAAACTAGGACTAAACCAGGTCTAAACCAGATCTAAAACCAGGTCTAAAACCAGGTCTAAACCAAGACTAAACCAGGACTAAACCAGGACTAAACCAGGTCTAAACCAGGTCTAAATCAGGTCTAAACTAGGACTAAACCAGGTCTAAACCAGATCTAAAACCAGGTCTAAAACCAGGTCTAAACCAAGACTAAACCAGGACTAAACCAGGACTAAAACCAGGTCTAAAACCAAGACTAAACCAGGACTAAACCAGCACTAAACCAGGTCTAAACCAGGTCTAAATCAGGTCTAAACTAGGACTAAACCAGGTCTAAACCAGATCTAAAACCAGGTCTAAACCAGGTCTACTAAACCAGGACTAAACCAGGACTAAAACCAGGTCTAAACTAGGTCTCAAACAGGATTTAACAGGACTAAATCATGCTGCACGGACATGTTTCCTCGTCTTCTGTCAATAATATTTTTAATCTGGTTCAGTAAAGTCTGTGTTTTTTTTTTATTTTCTTTTAGCAGACAAAACATCTGATGTTACGATATTTTAGTCTTTGCTTCTCTACAGCAAATCAAGTAATCCAAAGTATTCAGATTACGTTACTTGCTTTAAGTAATTTAATGGATTACGTTACAAACTACATTTTGGGGTATGTAATCTGTAATCTGTAGGGGAATACATTTTAAAAGGAACTTTCCCAACACTGTCTATATCTGACATATTACCTGCAGTGATTTGTAACTAGTTTTCTTTTCCAAAATGCCAGTTTAAACCATTATCGGAGGTCCTTGAATGCATCACTGTAGTTTCCGGGTCTGTGTGGTGTGTCCCGTGCGCCCTGAACGCAGCGGCGGATGGAGAGGGAGAGCCCAGAGCGCATGGGTCATCTTCAGCGGGAGGCAGTCAGGTGTGGTCGGTTGCGCGGTGACTTACACTCCGCTACCCGGGATCCAGAGATCCGGAGGCGGGCTGCATAGCGACCAAACCAGCGCCCACCGCCCCTCCACGGACACGAGCCGCGGAAAGAGCAACGACAACGCCAAGTAAGCCATGTTTTTCTGCACAATCCGAGATAAAGTTCCAGAAGAGAGAAAGAGAAGTTTTCCCCGTGGAGCCTGGCTGCGTAAAGGGCCTTGTCATTAACGTTTGCGCTTTGGGCTTTCGCTTCCGATATTTCACGAGTTGGTAATGACTAATTTGAAGCTTTGGCCAATTTAAAGACGTGATTCTAGTTTCCATCCACAATGACTTTGTTGTGGTTGTATTTGACAAAAGAACTTTCATAGTGCCTCACCGCCCACCGCGTCCTGGGAATGTTTGAATCAGTGGAATTCTTGTGCTGGTTTTCCCAATAAAACACGATATTTTTAATCGTATAATTAGGCCCACGTGCAGCTAAAGTTCCCAAAAGTGAGCTCCATTCTATTGAAGAGTAAATGTGATTTTAGTGTTTGTGTTTAGTCATGGCAGGCGAGGTGAGCGGCAGATTGCGCAAAGGTTTCTCTCAGTGGGGATGCTTCTTATCAAATGATCCTCTTCTCTGTCTGAACACAACACAGAGATGTTTTAGTTTATTACTTCGTTAGCAGAAATGATTGTTTAGATACGCAAAGAATATTACCTTAAACAAGAAACTGAGCCAGAAGTAAAAGTGAAATACATTTAATATTTGTAACTTAATCATTAAAAGTTAGGGGATAAAATCCAATTAATATTTCACTATTTGTCATTGTATTTGCACATTACAGAAAAAAAAAAGTAAGGCACATTTTTAATATATATGTATATATATCTCATTTATACTACAAAGGGGGAAAAAAAGGAAAACAAAAAAATCCAAACTTAAATCTTTATTCCTCTTCAGACTTGAAACTGAAAACTATATTATACTGAAAATGAAATGAACAATTCCTTCAAAAATTGCTCATGACACTTATGACTAGGGGTGCGCAAAAATATTGAAATATCGTATATCGTATTGTTTCATTTGATGATACAGTGTCGATATCATGGGCTGCTGTATCGAGCCAAGAGTATTTTTTGGTATATTTTGCTCAATTATTTAGTTACAATGCTACAATTTTGGCACTTGTTCAGAGGTAGGAAACTTGTTTTTGCAAGACATTTGACATTTTCACTGTTTTGATGATTAAAATGTTTGTGTTTCATATTCATTTTGCACAAAAAGTGGTTTAACAAACACTTGAGTATCACACCCATGATTTAGCCTTTATTTTTTATTGAACCTTATCGAATTGATTTGAAATATATCGTATTGAATCGAAAGCTCACTGTATCGAGATATATATCATATCATGGCTTATGTATCGAGGTATCTATCTTCTTAATGATACCCAGCCCTACTTATGACATTATTTTCTGATGTATGAAGTGGGACTTCTCCGTGGGATTTCTTCACACTGTCACTGGAATCATTTGGATAATTTCACCCCTGGAATTGCAACTTTCTACTGAACTAAAGGAAAAGAAGCTCTTAATTTGAAAACTACCACTTTATGACATCACAAGGTGGAACAGAGCATTTTGACCTTTGGAGATGTAGACAGAATAATAATAATACAAAACACAAAACACAACTTGAGCTCTGTTTTTGAGGATGTGACAACATTATAATAATAATACTAAAAGTTCACACGGGTCAGTTTAGTTTAATATAGGACCTTTAAATGTTCCACTCTTTAAATGTGGTAATAAATTTGTAGTACTTTTAGGAACTGAAGCAATGTGGTGTTCAAAGTGTTGCACGCTGCTTCCTGCAAGTAAGAAGAAATTTATACTAAGAGGAAATTTAAGCTGAATCTTTCTAAAACTATATATATATATATAAATATATATATATATATATATATATATATATATATTTGTCAAGTACTTACTAATCTTTGTCTCACATTCAGCGTAGCCCGTGTCATGGCCATTCAGTAAATACATCTGTTTATTATTGATACGTTGCAGTGATGTCATGCTGGGGCTGTTCTACATGCAGCTCTATGGTGGAAAGTTCAGCAGTTACCATGGTGACACAGTGCAAACAATTTTTACGGACTGAAAACCAAAAAGTACTAAATGGATTGAAAGAGCACATGTTCAGGAGCCTGTGATCAATCGGAGTGTTCATGGTTGTGTTTAGGAGTTAGATTTTTAACAAAAAGGTGAAAAAAACTGTTGGTTAATGCTAAATGCTACTGACTGTACATTTGTGTGTGAGAGACGTGTCTAACAGCACAAGTCTCACCTGTTCTTGTTCCAGCTAAGTCAGTTCTTTATGGTTAGACTTCATTAAAATAAAAGTCAGATTAAAGTATAACAGAATCTCAAACATAGCAGTGCCTCTAGTTAGAATCACACCTCCAGAGGATGTTGATGACGTCAGCTGTAAAGTGTCAGTACATTGTCATTTCTTACTCATAGATTTTCTTGTTTAAATGTTGAAGATGTCCAGAACCTGTCAGGCTGTACTGAGCTCAGCAGGAGGAGGCTCCAGGTTCAGCTTCAGCTCATGGTCAGCTCACATGTGACTGGGCCTTCAGAGCCGAGCGCTCGGGTTGGTTCTAAAAATCACTTCAGTGTAGATGGGTTTAGCTCAGGTTAGCGCTGCAGGCTAATGTCACCGTCACATGAGCACTTCCTGTTTTTGTGGAAACTGTTCCTGGTTGGTCACTGCTGTTTTGGCTTCCTTTAGTTTAACCACAGTGTGACTGGTGCACAAGTTACTGTAAGAAATGTTCAAGTGTCTGCAGGATATGGCAAAGACCTGAATCAGGATTATTTTTAAAAATTTGATTCAAACAGTCAAATTATACCAAGAGAGGATTGGCTGTAGACTTCTCCATGGCGCTTGCTCGCCCACTCTCCCAGGAGTAACTTTCCCGTTAATTTTTCTCCTAGACTTTCAGAGAAAAAGACTAGTTTGAAAGTGCAGGGTTATTCAGCTCTGTGGAACTAATGACCACAAGACAAGTCATCATTTTATTTATTTAAAATCTGTTACTGAAACATTATAAACTGCTGACCTGATCTAAACATTTTGCCGAATCTTGTGTTTTAAATATTTTAAATGTGCTTTTTGTGCTAAAATGTAATCAAGTCAAGTCATTTTATTTATATTTAAAACAACTGTAACAAGTTGCACAAGTACTTTACGACAAGAAACCTCACATATTAAAACAATAAAACAAATACAGTTTATAATATATAATATATATTATAATAGTACATCAGGCATGTCCAAACTATGACTCGTGGGCCAAATGCGGCCCTCAGACAAATTTTTGCTTGGCCTTCAGGCTTCCAGGTGAATTGGCCCAAATTACCTTACATCAATTAAAAATGAACTTTTTACTGCAAGTTTATTTAATATTTAGTGTGTGGTTTTAAGGATCTTGGCATGAATAAAGACTGATGTCTCATTCTAACGTGTTAAACATGCACATATTTCAATTATTCACTGTACGGAGCATCTGTCTATGTCCCTCGATCAGCCCTCTGCTTTGTCTGTGTTTAGATATGTGGCCCTTGATGGAAAAAGTTTGGACACCCCTGTAGAACATGATAAAGTAACTGAATACACAAAGGGTTCTAAGGAGTCTAGAATGGTTTTAAAATGAGATATGGATGTTCTCAGATGAAGATGAAGAGGCAATGCCATTATGCCAGACAGGATGAACCTAAAGCAGGATTCCACACAAAAAAGTATTATACTATATTATATATTTCACTGTACAGTACTGTTAATGAATAAATTAAAGCCTTCAAGAGTCATATATGATCTGCCCAACCCTGTACAGCGCAAATGTATCATGAGAGCTGAAAAGAAATATCACAGAGCTGAAAAATAACAAAACACTCCCACTAGAACTAAGAACAGGTCCCCACTATAAACACTGAGCCCAACTGTGATAGTTCCTTCTGTACTGGACCATAAGTTGATTGAGTATTTATTATGACAGGCCCAGTTGCATATAAAAGATCTAATTTATAATGATCATTAGTCTGTTTTATTAGTTATATAATTAGTAACAGATTCATGATAAGTTTGTTTAAAGGTCCTATATGCCACATAATGGACTCTTGTGAGCTTTAAGCCATGTCAGAATCCTCACAAACAGACCTGGAGTTGTGTTTTGTTTCATTCACATGTTTGAGTAACTCTTTATTATTAGTCTGTCTACATCTCCAAAGCTCAAAATTGTGATGTCATGAAGTTAACTTTTTCCTTATGGTTTAGAAGAGATTGGTAATTCCAGGGCTGAAATCATCTACATTATTCTAGTGAAGGTGTATGAAGTTTAAAAACAAACTGGAGCACTAGAACTAAGAACTAAATATCCAGGATTTGTGTGTTAAACGTGTGTGAATGAAACAAAACAAAACTCTAGGTCTGTTTGTGAAACTACATTAGAACAGAGAAAATCAGAAAACTGTGTAATATGGACCCTGTAAGTTTGTTTGTAAATCAGTGTCATCCTGAAAAGAGCGACGTCAGTGATTCCTCAGATCACTTCAGCTCAGTGGGATGCGATCAAGTCATCATAGTCACTCATAAAATCAGTTTCCACTCTGGTCCTTTTTCTCCTTGGGTCTGTTGATGGCTCAGGTCACATGACTGGGAGCAGGGTGGGTCCACATAAAGGAGGAAGTAGTATTTGTGACTCAGCTGTTGAAGGAGCAGTCCCTGGACTCAGTTTCGGTTTTGTCCGCGTGAACAGGACTGACCTATGGACCTACTGAAGGGACAGGTCACAGGAGCACAAGAAACCTTTATATCATATAGTTTTTATCATACTCAAAAGAATCGGGCTGAGGTACCAAAGACATCCTGGACTGACTAAAACATGCACAGTCATCAATTTACAAGAAGGAGCCTTACACCCTTTTAAAAGGCTTAGAGCTGCTGGAAACTAGAAAAAGTAATAATACAGAAACTCCATATCCTATTACTTAAAGGTGCACTGTGTAACTTTTTGGTTAGGGGTCTGTCACCTGTTTGTTTCTATGGAGATGTCATTGCACTGCCTGAAATTTTCCACAGTGTGACATTAAACAGCTCTACTTTACATTTACTCGATTACAGGTGGTTTTATAGCTCAAAAATATCTAGAAAAACAGACATTGTGACTGTGAGTGGGGTCGCCTCTCCACACATCTGACCTGTAACTTGGTCTGGTTTGGTCTCCATGAAGATAGAATGGTCTAATGCCATACTGTGAAACATTCCAGACTAAACAATAACATCTCCATGGAGAAAAGAATTTGACAGACCTTTCACCAGAAAAGTTACACAATGCACCTTTTAAGAAATTATAAACTGTCTTCAGTTACAGGTGTATGTAGATCTGTAATCTAATTTTAATAGTTTAAATTGGAATGATGTATTTTTCTTGCAATGCCATGTCTTTATTTGCTGAAAACCCCAGGAATAAACCATGATATTCCTTGATTTCATGACTTAGCAATTTTTCAAAATCTGTTATTAAAAACACAAAATAATTCAATCATTTGCCCAACTCTACCTTAAATGCACTAAAAGTTACTCTAAAGAATCATCTGATCTCAGTTTTTTAATGTTTATGTTCAGTTAGAGCTGCTCAATTATGAAAAAAATCATTATCATGATTATTTTGGTCAATATTAAAATCATGATTATTCAAATGATTATTTTTTAGTTACATGATGCATTTATTCAGCATTTCACTCTCTTTGTCAAAAAAACACTTTATTATTGATAATTTACACAAAACCTTCAAATTGAAGATAAAAATCGGCTACAAATCTGAACCTTAGAGCAGTTTTGTGATGCGCAAAACACAAAATGAATCAAATAAACTTTGAATATGAAATAAGGCAGAAAAACATAAATGTATCCAAAATAAACTCTATATCCAGCTCATCTACAATCTCTATATTTAAAAATTAAAATGAATATACTTTGTTAAGCTTTAATCATTTCAACTCGTTTATTTGAGTTTGATGATCGTTTGGCACTCAAATTGAAATTGCGATCAGAATTCGATTAATTGCACACAGCCTTATGTTCAGTTGTGTGCAATAATCACAATCTATATTTTCTTTACCTTTATATACCATATTGACTCCAGTCTCTTACTATTTTTGCTGCTTATTTAGAATGTATTATTACTATTTATATTTTTGCTCTTTGCTATTATTTTATATTGTGATGTGTGAACTACTGTGTCCAAGTCATTTCCTTGTGGATCAATAAAGTTTGTCTAAGTCTTTATTAATAAATCACAGTCTTGATAAAGGTGTTATCTTGGCAGACCTACCTGTTCTATTGATCGAAATCACCACATTCTTCATCTTATTTTGAAACTAACTTTTGCCTCTTTTCTGTTTCTCTTTAGTTTCTTTTTAAAACTGGACCAAAGGAAGTAGCAGCAGCAGAAGAAGAACCAAAGCCGGAGGAACTGATTGCCTCCACCCTGCGAATGTGAACACCTCCCAAAACAGGAAGCAGTTTACTTTTTAAAAAGGGACGCACTTTAAAACTCGTCACATGACTCTTGTGTTGCAAGATCTCCCTGCGTTTGTGGAAAAGGGCGAGACTCCACTGCACAGATGAGCTGGAGTGGAAATAGCCCGTAGCTGTGTAATGGTGTTTAAACTGGACTGTAGTTAACCACACAGAATGGACCGTGCATGGACAGGTCTTCTGCACTCACACAACACTGGAAACTCCAAAATCCTGCTGCTCACTGGAAAGGCGGCCATGTTGCACTGGGAATAAAACTGGGAGTATTTTTGGACGGATTGTGGTGCTGGAGGTCAGTGCGATCGATAAAGGAAAAAGGAGGAGCAGGAAAATCCCATATTTCTGCGTTACTTTGGTGATCCAATGGCAGGGAAAGACTACAACCACCTCTTCAAACTTCTCATCATCGGAGACTCAAGTTAGTGCTCAACTTTTTTACTTTATGTCATTTAAATATTTGATTATTTTTATATTAAAGAGGAGGGATTATTTGGGCTTTCTAAAATGTTATAACATGGTTCTCGCATCAAAAACATGGTTGAAGAGGTTTTAGAGTCATCCATGCATGTTTGAATAATCTAGAGATTTCACCCAGGCTCTGTTCAAACCCTCCTAATGATTAGCTCTAAGATTCTGTACAAGGCTCCGCCCACAAGCCTACGTCCCCCATGCTCCCAGAGAACAGTTCTCCATAAATAAACAAAAACATGATTCAAAACTGTACACAACAACTTGACAAATCTGATGTGACATGCAGTATTTTCATGATCAGGATGCACGCTGATTGTGTTTAGCGCTCTGAAGGGGGAGTGACTTACCACGAGGAGCAAAAGAAGGGGAGACTCAAAAATGAAAGTGTCAGTTAATATCCCATAGAAGTGTAATACCCCCTCCTTAAACAAAACAAAACAAAAAGGATAATAAAGTGAACACGACACACTTTCACATTTAGACAGATGAAGACATGTTCAAACAAAAACCGTTCCACTTCATTCTCTACAGTTACCCTCAAGGAAATGTGCACGTTTTGAGTGCTTCACATTTTAAAGCTGGAGTACCCTACTTTTTTCCCTGTCAAGAGTATATTATCTAAACAATACTTTAATTAAGCATTCACATTTGAGAGAGACTGAAATCTGAAATGCTATTATAATCCAAGAGTCCCATACATTTCAGAACATGTTTGTAGAAGTCAAGGCAAGGTAAGTTTATTTGTATAGCACAACTGGTACACAAAGTAATTCTAGTGTTTTACAGAATATGAAATACATTAAAATCACAGTACACATAAATCTAAACATAAATAATCATCATTAAATTTAAAAAAGAAAGAGACCTTTAAATGAGAGAGAAGAGTGCAGAATGAAAAATGAAAATCTTTCAGACACAGTTAAACAGAAGTGTTCTGAGTCTGGATTTAAACAGAGTCAGAGTCGAGTCTCACATGTTCAGACTGTTCCAGGTTTTAGCTGTGTGAATCTGAAACTCTGACTCCCCGTGTTTAGTCCTGGCTCTGGGTACCAGCAGGAGGCCGGGATTGAACCAGGACTGAACCAGGACTAAACCAGAACTAAACTAAACCAGGACTGAACCAGAACTAAACTAAACCAGGACTGAACCAAAACTAAACTAAACCAGGACTGAACCAAAACTAAACTAAACCAGGCCTGAACCGGGCCTGAACCAGGCCCGGTCCCGGCCTGAACCAGGACTGAACCAGGACTGAACCAGGACTGAACCAGGACTGAACCAGGACTGAACCAGGCCTGAACTGAACAACTGAACCAGGGCTGAACCAGGGCTGAACCAGGGCTGAACCAGGGCTGAACCAGGGCTGAACCAGGGCTGAACCAGGGCTACAGCAGGGCTACAGCAGGGCTACAGCAGGACTACAGCAGGGCTACAGCAGGGCTACAGCAGGGCTACAGCAGGACTACAGCAGGAGATCAGTCCCTGAGCTCCTCACAGTGCACATGGTTCATGTGGCACTAACATGTCACAGATGGACTTTGGTGCGAGGCCATGAAAAGACTTGTACAAGCAGAGCTGCTTTAAAGTCTCAGACAGGGGGCAGGGCAGAGACCTGAGCACAGGACGTATGTGCTTGTGCTTCCTGGTTCAAGTCAGGACCTGCAGCAATGTTCTGGACGTCCTGTAGCGTCTCACATCTCGTTTGGAGAGGCCAGTGAGAGGCCGTTACAGTCTAACCTACTGGAGACAAACCATAGACTGAATAAAAGAAGTGGACTAGGCGAGTGTGACGTCACCCATAACATTCACCACCCCTCAAATGAGGCTCGTGATGCTCACGGTTACAGGAGACAATCGAGAGCCAGGCTCTATATTATGAATAGGATTTTTTAACAGACAAAATAGCTAAAATGAAAATCAGGATCATGTGTCAAGTGTTAATATGAACATTTTAAGACCAAAATGATGAGGCTCACAGCAGCAGTTACAGAGAGAGGAGCCACAGGATCTTAATGTAAGTCACTTAGAGCCAGAGTCAGAAGGAGCCAGAAGAGCCTCCTGGAGAACTTCCTATTTGGCACTAGAGCGCTAGCTATGTCCACTGTCCACTCATATACACGATCTATGAGACAAATTCGTGGATAAGTGTCTCCAGGTCTGCTTTAAACAGTAAACCTTTGATTGTTGCTGTTTTTTAGTCTGTAAAAGCTGCAGATGTTATTGATTTGTTGTAGCTGTTCAAGTTTAAATCAGAGTCCATTATTACCTCAAGATTTCTTGCCTGATTTGAAGGTGTTAGAGAGAGACTGGAGGTGATGCTGACTGTGTTTCTGTGGGCCAAATACTTGTTTGATTTTAACTGGAGAAAGTTGTTTTGCATCCACATACTGATCTGTTGGGTGCAGTGACAGAGTGAGTCTAAACTACTGAGTTAGCAGCTTTGTTAAAAAAATCAGACACAGGGCCTTTTAAATTCATATTAACAAAATTATCACTCTTATTTACTCATTGACGTATTCAAACTGATTTTGAAACCAATGTGTCATTTTTTTTCTAATAGCATCTAAAAATAGAAGAAAGACAGAAAATGGAGCAGTCATTTGACCAGAACAGAGCTTTTTATAGAAGTGTGTCTGACTGTGAGAGAAAGCACAGGGTTCCAATAGTCCCCATAAGAAGTCACACTCTCCGAGGCATCAGGAAACATAACGATCAGATCTGTGTTTGTTCTGTGCTGGACAGAAACGGACACGGACTAAGGACTTAAGGGACATGGGTTTTATTAATAGCAGGGATAAATCTGGCATAAAGAGATGCCAACAATGCGACAAAGATGAAGAAAATAAAATTAAAGCCCATATCACACTATTTTCTGATCTATGTTATAATGTAGTTTCCTCATCACAAACAGACCTGCATCTTCAGACTGAGTTCTTTTCTCAAATGGAAAACAGTGATAGTTGATATTTGGACATTTTTAACAGCCTTATAAAACTCCTGCAGAGGCAAATATTTAGTTTTGGTTGATCTGCTGCACTTTAACATGAAAACACTTTAATAAGAATAGAAACTACACAGTTCCCTAATGGGTTTGTGGTTGAGCCAACATATTGGTTCAAAAATATAAACAATCGTATACAGAAATATTAACGACTGTTGCAGCATCAGCCATGAAAAACATAGCGATCTCTATAAAACACTCTCGTCTAACAATTTCAGCCAATCGCCATTGTCAGTCTCTAATGAACTAAAGGTAAAGGTAGCTCTTAATTTGAAAAGCACCATTTCATGACATCACCAGGTAATAATAACTCTTTATTATTCTCTGTTACATGTGTTATTATTACTCAAACATGTGTGAATAAAACACAATTTGGGCTGTGCTTCTGAGGAGAGAACAACATAACATGGCTTAAAGCTCACAAAAGAGTCTGTAAAAGCTGCTAAACCTGTAGTTTAGACTCTACAAACATGTTCTGAAATACATGGGATTCTAGGATTATTTCATGAGTTCAGATTTAAGTGTTCTCTTTAATGTGAATCTTCCTGAATGAGTGAGTTTTCATTTTCAAATGTATCCCTTAAGTTTAAACAATATTTAAATATATATGTTTCGGGTAAATGATTTTGGATTATATTTTCCCACAGTACTAGCTCCTTAATAATGGCTCTGTATTGAAGTGCTGCTGTTGTGTCTTGGGCCGAGTTTCCTCTTCTGTTGTGAATGTGCTTATGTTTCACTGAGTCCCTGCAGCTCCAGTTTTCTCATATTTCCTGTGTTTACTTTAGATAATGTCACCACAAACATTTAATATACAGCATTTTCCCCAGATCATGGTGCTTTTCTCGGTCATCAGGATGTTATCTTTTTTTAAAACATCTGAAAATATTCTTCATTTATATAATCAGTTTTTTTTTTCTTTCCATGATTATTTCCATTGTAGATTCTCACTAAAAGCATCAAAACTATGACTGTCACATGTGGAATGCAGTAAACAAAAATGAACTCAAACTCCAAACTTGTTTTAGATTTTTATTTTTTTTTAATAGCCTTTAACCTTTGCTTTGAACCTTGTTTTGCACTTTTGGCCTTTCTTGACCCTGAGGCACAGCTGTGAAGTGAAAACCATTTCAGGAGACTTCAAGAAGCTCACTGAGAGAAGGTCAAGGGTTTACAGCACTATTGACAAAGCAAGGGGAGGATATTTTGAATTTGAATCTAAAATATGAAAAATAAGATAAATTATTTCTCTTTTTTCTTTGCTACATAATTCCATATATCTGACATTATATATTTGATGTCTCTTTTCTAAAAAGTAAAAAATAGTAAAACAAAGGGGAATGAGAGGGTGTGTCCGAACTTTTGACTTGTCATGTATAAAATATATTTTAACTTTACCTCAGACGTTCTGTTTCATGTTTTTTTTTTTTTTTTTTTCAGATGTGGGGAAAAGCAGCCTCCTCCTTCGCTTCGCAGACAACTCTTTCTCTGGTGAGCTTACTGTTTTATTATTATTGAATTTATTTAAAGTTTTTGATTTGAATGATGTGGAAAACTACTAAATTGTAAAATGTTTCTTTTTTGTACCCTGTTATGAACGATCTAGTTTAAAGAAGAACTGTAGTGCCTGTGTGTGTGCTCTAGACTTATACTCTGACACCTGTGGATCCTTATGTTAGAATCTGCGCATTTTAAATTACAATATTCATTTAAAACAACTCAGTAAAAGAAACAAGCATGCTGACTTCAGGGTTAGAAAACCATGTGTGGGAGCTGACATTGCCATAGCGCTGCATGCTGTGGGCACATCACACTAGAGCACAGCTTTTGTTTCCCATCTGCATCAAAATGACTGTGACACTGCCAAATCCTAAATGTATCACTGATTTAAGGAAATAAAATTAGAGAACAAAGTACAGAGCAGTGGGCATGTACTGGTGGTGGCAAAAACAGGAGTTGATCAGTATGTCATCTTGGGAAAAAAGTGATTAAAGATGACTCAAACATGTACTTAATCACTCAAATATAACACTGGGTAAATGGAGAGCAGAGACAACTATAACATGGTTAAAAGTATCAATCTGCTTTAAGTTTCACTCTGTACTGCCCAATATATAATAGGGCAAAAAAGTATTTAGTCAACCACCAATTGTGCAAGTTCTCCCACTTTAAATGATGTTGAAAATTACAGGCCTCTCTCATAGGTACACCTCAACTATGAGAGACAAAATGACAAAAAAAAATAAATCCAGCAAATCACATCGTCTGATTTTTAAAGAATTTATTTTCAAATTGTGGTGGAAAACAAGTATTTGGTCAATAAAAAAGTTCATCTTAATACTATGTTATATACTCTTTGTTGGCAATGACAGAGGTCAGGGGTTTCACACACTGTTGCTGGTATTTTGGCCCATTCCTCCTGCAGATCTTCTTTAGATCAGTGATGTTTTGGGGCTGTCTCTGGGCAACACAGACTTTCAACTCCCTCCAAAGATTTTCTATGGGGTTGAGATCTGGAGACTGGCTAGACCGCTCCAGAACCTTGAAATGCTTCTTATGAAGCCACTCCTTGGTTGGCCAGGCAGTGTGTTTGAGATCATTGTTGTGCTGAAAGACTCAGCCACATTTCATCTTCAGTGCTCTTGCTGATGGAAGGAGGTTTTCACTCAAAATCTCACAATACATGGCCCCATTCATTCTTTCGTCCTGGTTGTTTTGCAGAAGAACAGCCCCAAAGCATGATGTTTCCACCCCCATGCTTCACCAAAAAAAGCTCTATTTTGGTTTCATCTGACCATAGGACATTCTCCCAATCCTCTTCTGGATCATCCAGATGCTCTGTAGCAAACTTCAGATGGACCTGGACATGTCCTGGCTTAAGCAGTGGGACACATCTGGCACTGCATGGTTTGAATTCCTGACGGTATAGTGTGTTACTGATGGAGCCTTTGTTACTTTGGTCCCAGCCCTCTGCAGGTCATTCACTATGTCCCCTGTGTGCTTCTGGGACTTTTGCTCACCGTTCTTGTGAACGGGGTGAGATCTTGTGTGGAGCCCCAGATGGAGGGAGACTATCAATGGTCTTGTATGTCTTCCATTTTCTAATACCTGTTGCAGATTCAGTCTGCCCAGCCTGGTGCAGGGGTACAGTTTAGTTTGTGGTGTCCTTTGACAGCTCTTTGGTCTTGGCCATAGTGGAGTTTGGAGTGTGACTGTCTGAGGTTGTGGACATGTGTCTTTTATGCTCAGAAACAATTCAAACAGGAGCCATTAATACAGGGAATGAGAATAACAAGTTACAGGTCTGTGAGCCAGAAGTCTTGCTTGTTTGTAGGTGACCAAATACTTATTTTACTGAGGAATTTACCAATTCATTAAAAATCCTACAATGTGATTTCCTGGTTTCTTTCCTCCAATTCTGTTTCTCATAGTTGAAGTGAACTTATGATGAAAATTACAGGCCTCTCTCATCTTTTAAAGTGAGAGAACTTGCACAATTGGTGACTGACTAAATACTTTTTTGCCCCACTGTATTGTGTAAAAGGTATTTGCTGGCTTCTGCACAAATTATGCTATTGACGTGTGCTTATATGTCACTTTATGGTTTAACAGGGATTTATCACACAATCTTCTCTGGTTGTAGAATGTAAAAAATGTTATCAAGTTCAGAACAGACCACATGAAACTAGAGTCTGTGATCTGTCTGGACCTGTCTGAGTTTGGAGTTCCACCAATCTAATCCAAAATACAACAGTACAGACTCTACAGGGTGTAAATCATATTAAGTTTCCTCATCACAAACAGACCTAGAGTTGTGTTTTTTTTCATTCACACATGTTTAACACACAAAACCTGTATATTTAGGCTGAGTTCTTCTCTCAGACTTTTAGCTTTTTTCCATGTTATAACATTCCCTCACCAAAATCACACCTGAAGAGGTTTTATATGTCATGGCTGGATGTTTGAGTAATCTAGTGACAGTTCTCCATGAATACAAAATACAAAAACATGATACAAAACTGTACACAGCAACTTGACAAACCTGATGTGATGTGCAGTTGTGTGCAGACTGAGACTGTCAAAAACTAAAGTGAAATTCATAATAAAATGTTAATACCTTGTTTCTGTTGCATTTTCAAAACAATAAAGAGTAACATGGTGATGTAAATATGTGATGTGTTGGTAGAAGTAAAATAGCCCTTAAACCGTTTCTGTTGCAGGCAGTTACATCACGACGATCGGGGTGGACTTTAAGATCCGGACGGTGGACGTAAATGGAGAGAGGGTCAAATTGCAGATTTGGGACACGGCCGGACAGGAACGCTTCAGAACCATCACCTCAACGTGAGAAATATTATAATAATTCCATTTTATACAGAGTTGGAGAGTACTCATTCAAACGTCTACTTCTCTCAGTAGTTTCCAGTGACTGTACTTAACTGTACAATGTAACTTTTTTTTTTCAACATGTGTAAAAGTTCTGCTTATATGTTGACAATATGAAATGACTTGTATTTCTTGCACTGCTCCTCCAGATATGATTTAGTTTTGTCATTTTTATGGCCCTCCTTCTGAAATTATCCTATTTTGTGTATTATTTCATGTTTTGTCCTTCATATTATGTTAAATCTACTTGAGTAGTAGTTTCCCCAAATACTTTTTGACTCAAAAATTCCATTGTTAAAGAAGATAGACTACAGTGTGTAGCTTTCTGGAGGTCGACACCTGCCATGGAAATGGAAAGTTAAAGCCATACTTTGGAATATTCTCTACTAAGAAAGATGTGTTTTATTCCATACTGTGGAGGAACTCCTCCCGATGAAAAGAGTCAGGGTTGTGGAGATGCGAGCCCACTTACAGCAAGAACACGTGTTTTTGAAGTTTGTCATCCTTTTGAAAAAATATGTTTTTATTTTAGTCTGTGGTTGGCTAAAAGGTTACATACTGCGGTTTAAAATATATTTTTAAATCTTCGTTTTCTTTTTCAGTTACTACAGAAACACACATGGAGTGATCATCGTTTATGACGTGACAAACCCAGAGTCGTTTGTGAATGTGAAGAGATGGCTCAACGAAATCTCGCAAAACTGTGACAACGTCTGCAAGATCCTGGGTGAGTGTTTTTAAAATATAAATATAATATATATAATATAACCAAGGCAGAACAGAGAATCAAAACATGTCATGATTACAGTTTTGTTTTAATGCATCCAAGTAAACCCATTATTCAGTAGCTCCAGTTTTTTCCAAAAAAACCTGTTCCCCTCAGTATATTTCCACAGGCACAGGATTGTTGTATTAGTTTAAGAGTTCAGATTTCACTTTCTCTGATGTTTATGCTCCTGGACATGTTTAAGATGTGCACTGTCAACTGAAGCCTGACATGTACATGTATTACATGTAAACATGTATTCCAAATCGAATCAAAATATAGAAATGAGGAAATTCTCAGATGCCCTCCCACCCTCCTGTATTTCTGTAGAGTTAGACTGAGATGGTGGCAGGTCTGGTGTGCTAGTTGCCCTTCCACATGTTGTGTGGTTGGATAAAAACAGCGAGAGAAAATGATCAATAAAAGAAATGACCAGGGAAAGAACCTTCATCAGTACAGGAGCTCTGAAGCTTCATGTTAATTATTATCAGTCAGAAATAGTGCAAATTCTTTATAGGTAAGGTCTATTTACACAGTGCTGCTGCTGCTGGAAACTTGTAAGATTAGCAAAGCACAAATAGCAGGATTCTGTAATAAATGAAATGTTATTAAAATATATAGATCCAGTTGTTTATAATAGTCCGATTCTGTTGTGATGTCAGTTTGGAGGGGGAGTGACTTAGCATGGAGAGCAAGGGAGTGGGACTTGGTGTCAAAAACAAAAATGAAACATGTTAAATGTTGTTTTAGGTGACTATAACATTTCAAAACGATAAAAGGTAGCTGTGGAACAACTCACCCTTATGTAACAAAACCCCATGTCCTATAAATCATTATTTCATCTTTGCACTGTTTTACCTGATGACATCTTGTATATAGCTGGGATGTATTTGTATCACATCATATTTCTATATTTTATTTCTGCTTCTACATACACAAGTCTGTATGTTGTGTTGACACCACCTCTTAAAATCTTGTGCCTGTATTAATTTTATAAGATGAAAACCATAAACAAATCAGCTAATTTATCCATGTTATACCATACCATATTTTAACATCAGTTTTACTTTTAACTCTGTCCTTTTACTCTTAGTGGGAAACAAGAACGATGACCCCTCCAGGAAGAAAGTGGAAACACAGGATGCGGTGAGGTTTGGTGAATCAGTCGGCGTGCGTGTGTTTGAGACCAGCGCCAAAGAAAACATCAACGTGGAGGAGGTACTTTTACTACACTACTGCTAATACAGGCTAAAGGTGAATTCAATAGTACAAAGGGCCCATATTACATTTTATTATTTCCTGATTTTCTCTGTTCTAATGTTGTTATCTCATCACAAACAGACCTGGACTTGTGTTTTGTTTCATTCACACATGTTTAACACACAAACCCTGCAGAGTTAGGCCGAGTTCTTCTCTCAAACAGAAAACACTGTAGTGCTCCACTGTGTTTTTAAACTTCAGACACCTTCACTACCAATTTTTGTTGAACTACAGGTAAAAGGAGCTTTGAAGCAACTTTGAAGCAGGATGCTACGCTATTTTCTGCACTTTAAGGCGCTCTGAATTATAAGGCGCACTGTCATTTTTTTCACATATAAACCGCACCGGACTTTAAGGTGCATTAAACACAACAGTTGGATGGCTCAGTCGGACTTTGTTTGGCGTGTTCAGTTGTGGCGTGTAGGAAGAGTACTGTCTGGGACCGCTGGATTGTTGGCGTGTTTGCTTTTTTGGTTCGTTCCTCCTTTCTGTTCCTCGTCGGCGTGGAGTGATGAGTGTGTCTGTGGGTGTTTGTCGCTGCGCGGTTGCTGTCTGCTCTGTGTGTGTTTGTGTGTTCTGTGGGTGGTGCGGCTTTGTAGTTTACTGAAGTTGTGCTGGGACACCTGAGTGGATTCGTGTATAGGCGAGTTTCATTGTTAACAAAAGCGCGCGTTGCATGCTGGGAATTATTTTGGTTGGCGGCAATAAACACTAATTCAACATGACAGACAGAGCGAGAAAGCACGTAAAGGGTATTGATCCTGGTTATTTATCCACTCTAACGGCAGAGGACCCAAGACGATTTGACCAGAAATTGGTCATAAGCATCGATGGAGCCAAATCACCCTTTTCAACCCCGACAGAGCCTGGACCAAACCAAATTTCTGGTCAGAATCGCCAACTACCTGGACAAATATTCACTTGGGCGATATCCACAATGACTTGGTGGAAACTCCTGGGCCATTCACAGCAAAAGATGAAAACCTCCAAGAGTCTCGATGTGTTGTTGAACTTGTTGGAGTCCACGGTTTGTTAGGATCTTCTACGTTTGCTCTGCGGATGTTTGAAATCCATTTAATTCGCCGTTAGCGGTTCTTTTCACTCACAATAAGAAAAAGACATTTTCCTTCTTCCGTGCTTCTATTTGTGCATCTGATAATGGTAAATTCCTGCTGCATTATCGGGGAGAAATACGCGAGGTTACACACTGTGTTTGACCGCTACCGTGTTACTTGCCTCTGACCAAAATATTTCCCAGCATGCAACGTGGGCTTTTAATAACAATGACGTCAGCTGAAACTCGCCTATAGGGCGCTCTGGATTGTGGCACGCAGTCGTTTTTTGATGGGGTTGGAGGCTTAAGAGCACGCGCTATGGTGCGGAAAATATGGTACTCAAACATGTGTGAATGAAACAAAATGCAACTCCATTTGTTTTTGATGAGGTAACAACAGTAGAACATGGCTTAAAGAGTACGAGACATACGTTGCACTATAGAAATACATAGTGAAAAACACAGCGTGATGTCACAGAGTATCAGTTGGTCAATATTGTGATTTTTGATGACTTTGATGTATTGTGTAAAGAATCCAATAAAAGACCGTAGTACTACTAGAGATTGACTAAATGCAGGCTGTATTATCTGATTGTTGTGTCCTGTGCAGATGTTTATGGAGTTCACTCACATGGTTCTTCGAGCCAAAATCCAGAGTCAGAACCGAGCGGAGAGAGAGCGAGAGAGGGAGAGAGACACCGTGAACATCAATGCACAGAGGGACCGAGACCGGAGGAAGAGAGGCAAGAAGTGCTGCTGAGGTCCAGGCTGAGATCTGGGTCTAGACCAGGGCAGAGATCTGGACTAAGACCAGGATTTAGACCTGGAGACTGGAGCGCAAGAGGGAGACATGTGAATATCAGCGCACAGAGAGAGTGAGACTGGAGGAGGAGAGGCAAGAAGTGCTGTTGTTTGGCTGAAATCTAGGTCTAGACCAGAACTGAGACCAAGACTTGGATCTTGACTAGGACTAAGACTGGAGCACGAGAGGGAGAGAGAGAGAGAGAGAGACTGCAGAAAGAGGGGCAAGAAGTGATACAGAAGTTCAGGTCAAGACCAGGGACCGGGACCAAGACCTGGGTCTAGACCAGTACCTGGACTAAGACCAGAGAAAGATGAGCGAGAAGGGCTGCCAAAATCCAGGCTAACACCTGGGTCTAGACCAGGATTGAGACTAGGATTGAGACCAGGATTGAGACCAGGGACCAAGACTAGCTTCAAGAGGGGGAAAACACTGAAGTTTAGACCAGGACTGGGACTAGGAACAAGGCCGCAATCAGAAGAAGAGGGGCAAAAATGCTATTGAAGTCCAGACCAAGACCTGGGTCTATATCAGGACTTGGAAAGGATAAAGGTTAGCACCAAGGGAGACATGAAGTGCATCTGAGGCCAGGTCTAGACCAGGACCAGAGACCGGGGCTGGATTTTACAGCAGGGATTGGTGTTAATTTTAATGTTTAAAGTAAAAAAAAAACAAAAAAAAAATTATTATTGATCTCCTGCTTAGCCATCTCACTTCACCTCCAGACCTCCTCCAGCGCTTTTTCTGACACATCACAACGTCAGAACCTCTGATATCAAATGTTCAAAATGGTTGCCACACAACATCTTGAGGTTTTCTTCTAGAAAATACAATGTTTTCGAAAATGGACACCAGTAATCACCATTTACAACCATGACAAAAAATCCTGGAATCCCTGTATCCACTGCTATTAGGAAAACTATTTGTCTACGAGTAAACTTCAGTAATGGAATAAGTGTTAATGAGAATACCTGGGACTAAACTGGGACTAAACTGGAACTAACCCAGGACTCGATGTGGTTCAAACCAGGATTAAAGCAGCACCTCACCCGGACTGAAGCTGAGAGTTTCAGCATGGATCCTGCAGTGCCAAAGGACCAGTTTGTTTGTCTTGTTTCTTTGTTTACATAGATTTTAATTGAATAAAATCTTAATCTTTTTAATGTACTTTCACCATCTGATTAACCACTCTAACCACAGAAAGGAGACCAAAGGGTTAACTCTGTTCAAGTCTGAGCTATTTCAAACCAATTTATTTTTTATTGACTGCTAATCACAATATTAACCTTGACATTATCTCATGTTTATTCACTTAAAGATGCACTATGTAACTTTTCTGGTGGAAGATTCATGATATGCTTGTGTCTAAGGAGATGCTTTACCTGAAATTTTATCACAGTATGGCATTAAACGCATCTGTCGTGCATTAATTCAATTACAACATGGTGTTTAATTGGTGAAAAAGATTGTTACTGAGTTGAGTCACCTCTTCACAGATCTGACCTGTAACTTTGCCTGGCGTTGTCTCCATGGAGATAAGATCAGTTTACTGCCAAGCTATGGACCATTCCAGGCAAAGCAATGACATCTAGAAAAGTTACAGAGCGCATCTTTAATGTGGCAAGATTCTCCCTTAAAAAGTGCACTCTGACTTTTCTGGTGGAGGATCTGACATCTGCTTGTCTCCATGGAGATGTTGTTGCTTTGTCTGGAATGTCCCGGTATGGCATTAAACATATCCATCTTGCATTTACTCAGTAACACAGTGGGCTCACCTCTCCATAGATTTGACCTGTAACTTGGCTCTGTGGTGTCATCTGCTGTCTACATAGAGATAAATAAGTGTAATGCCATACTGTGGAACATTCAAGACAAAATCTCTGAAGTGAAGCTGGTGACGGACCCTCCCGCCAAGTTACACAGTGCACCTTTAAGGATAGTTGAAATATAGTCACTATCAAAACTCCTGTAACTGTACTGTATTCAAAAGTTGAGTCAGTTTGAGACATTTTCCCCCCAAAATCTCAAATATTTAGGCCAAAATTAGGTATGTTTGTGTTTTGTTTTTTTATTAGAATGCCTCTGGAGGTATAAGGAACAGTGTGCTTGGCCTAACAGGTATCCACACTTCAAACTCTGACCCTGCAGCCAGGTCTTTGTAATGAAACACTTGCCTTTACTCAGTGCTGTCCTGTGTGATGTCACATAGTACTTGAAATAGCAGTGGCCACTGGAGGAAAAAGACAGTTGCAGATTTACCTAGTGCGCACTGAAGTTGCCGATAATGCCTTTAAAAATTCATATACATAGTGATGTAGTGATGATGTCCACCTAAATGATGCCAAATTCAAATCCATTAAAGAGACTAGTTCAGTTGTGAAAAGGGAAGTAAGTTATAACTTTGTGCCAATGTTAATGAGCCTTGCATCAATAAACTAAACCACCGCTGCCTGTTTGTTCAACCCAGAGCAATAAACCTGTGATTGTATTGACTACAATGTGTCAGATGTTCCGTGTATTGATTTAATTACTTCATAGAATTGTAGTCAGAGTTCAGATTGCTCCTGAGTACATACTTCAAACTTATTAAAATTCCTGTTCCTGATTTCAAACCATGAGTCAGCAACATGCTTTAGTCATACAGATTATGAACTTTTGGGCCTGTTCACTCAGTCCTGTCAGCTGCTGTGATGTTGCACCATGACACAGAAAAAACTGACGGGCATAGTGTCATACAGTTCACTTAAAGCTCTTTTTCTACTGTTTGCTTTTTTGACACCTTTCTAGCATGACAGAAAATTTAGGCAGATGATTACCCAGGGTTTTTAGCTGTAATAAGGAAACTACTGAGCAATTTATGATGAACAACATTTATCTTTAACTTCAGGACAAAAATCAGGTCCAGGTTTAAAAGGGATCAAGGTTTTGATGACCTCTGGTGGTAACCTGGTGTATTGCCATTAAATTGTGGCTCCCAGGTCTTAATTGCAAGACATTAGACACAATATAAACATGATTATAATACCACACAAAGGTATTTATTTAATATTTTTGCTGTAATTGTAGCACTGAGTGTAGCTTGGCAGTTAATCTTTCTTTGTTCAATACAAATGTAAACACACGCGAAAATATCTCACGAGATGTTGGCCCAACCCGATACGTGGATATACATAAGTGCAAATCATATTTACTCAAATCTTACCAAGACTAAAATTAGATAATGCTCATCTTTATGCTAAACGACACAAAACTTCACCTTTGGATCCATTATTGAAACATTTATTTGAAAACAGTCACTAGAGGATAATTATAAGTGCTGTGTAACAATACAGTCTGTCCCCAAGTCACTACAAAACACCTTTAGGTGACACAGGGTCCGTGAGATTGTCCATTGTTCATCTCCTGATTCTCGTATGGCTGCTGGACCTTCACTTGGACTTGGGCAGCCTGTAGACCCCCGCAGACCCAATCAGCTGATGCTCCCGGACCTTTCGCTGTAGAAACGCCTCGAGCTCCTCCACATCCATCTCCGTGACAACGGGTCCCGTGGCAACAAACATCCTGAGCATCGAGTGGATGCGCTCTAGAGTCATACTGTCCAGGTTTGTGAGCATGGCCTGAATATAGGCCCAGAACAGCTGCAACAACAACACATGGGTTAGGATCAGGGACGGGTCAGGAAGGCTCAGCAAGGTAAAGATGTGGCACTGTTGGCATGGTAGTTGTTGTTAGTATTAGTGTGAAGGCAAAACTCTGATGTGGTCTCTGAAAGTAGTGAAAAGAGTTTAGACACTTGCTCTGAATGAGTTAGGAAAGCAAGGACTAAGTTTGGACCACTGCAAAGTATTTAAAGTGAACTAACTCTGTTTTTCATGTTTTTAAGACAGAAAATCTAGTACAAGGCCTTTAAATGATCATTTTGTGTTGAGATTGGTGTCACCATTTATGTTATGTGTACATGGATCCACTCCCTTGTTTTAAAAATCTGTGCAGTCGTACCTGTAATTTCTCCTCCCTCTGCTCGGACTGTGTGGTTGTGTTTGAGTCCCGCTCTTCGTCGCTGTCGATGAGCATCACACCTCGCTCCAGTTTTTCTCTGGAAGAGCCCGTTTCCATGACACTGTAGCGCCCCCCGGCTTCTTCCCGTAGAATGCCCTGCTGCTGCCACAGGGCCAGTTTCCTGTGCACAAGGTCTCGAGGGGCCCCCAGCTGTGCGCTCAACTCCTCCAGAGTCCACTCACCTAAAGGTGGAAGCAGAGACGTGCATTAGAGTTTTAACACAGGGCAGATAAGATTAGACATAGTGCAAAGAGGAGTCGTACTCTTGTCCTGGAAGTGCAGGATTATTGCTGCGTGGATGGGAGACACTGTGAGGTTTGTGATGGTTCGATCTTCCAGCTCTACGTCCAGAGTCACTGAGCCCAGATGAGGCTTCCAGCTCAGAGTGCGCATCGCCTGGCCACACAACAACAGCCACGGTCAGTGTGAAGCAGAAAGGGACGATTATCAGGGCCTCACGTTACAAAATTATCACAATACAGTGCTATACAAGCCCCAGTGCCGTACTATGATTGGCCAAGTGAAATCTTTCAAATTATTTTTAACCTTCCAGCTCCATAATACACGTTTTCGTTACCTTTAGCTTCTCGTAGCGGTGCTTATATTCCTCCATGGCCTGGGTCACCACAGGGGGGAGCTCTAGTTTCTCCTCCTTGAGCGTGGGCCAGAACTCAGAGGAGAGGATGATGGCGGAGAGGGGAAGAGTTGGCTGCTCTTCTTTATTCAGACGAGACTCTTCCTCACGAACATTTCCGTTTATTCTGCGTGAGTCCGCCATGTCCTGAGGGAGCAGGAGATGGACTTTTAAAAACAAACATATCCACAGGCCTGGAGTATGCAGCTGCCCCTGGAGCATTTTGTCAAAGGAGTAGTTTTGGTTGTGTCCTTTACCTTGAGCATGACCTCACAGTAGTGCATGTGCGACTCTCCAAAACGCAGCTTCAGCAGCTCCACATTTCGGATTTCTCTGAAACAGAAACACCACAACAAGAGAATCTGATCAGTTTATCTGGTACAATGAAAGTTCAGAATGTAACTATGGTTCTATGATTCCCTCCTGACCACCAGACAGTGTTGCTGAAAGCACTGAATAACCTCCCACACACAAGGAATCTTTCAGTGCCTTTATCATCGCCCCCTGCCCATCAGAACACTGTAGATGTGTGAACTTGGCCTGGTGTTTGGGAGACCAGAAAGCTGCTCATTACGTCACAGGTTTGGCAATATTTTGTTTAAAAACACGTTACCTGGCGTTGAGTGGAGTGTTACCCGGTGGCGTGTGCATTACCCAGCGGTGAGTGGAGTGTTACCTGGCGGTGTTGTAGTTGAGCTGGTGCAGCAGGCGGTCGGCTAACACAGCTCTGTACTCATCGATGAAGATGTCTTTGCTGCCGTAGATACTGACGAGCAGACTGATAATGTCAGAGGAGCGCCGCTTTGAGCCAGACTTATCTGAGGCACAAACAGATGCTAAGGTCATGTGACTGGAATCTTTTTTGTTTTGTTACTGCAGAGTACAGCAGTGCTTCTCAAATAGGGCGGGGGGGCGCGTGGCTCCGTCAAGGGGGGCGCGTTTGACCTCGGGGAACATGCTTTTTTATTTTTTTATTTAGATTTTTTTTTTACTGTCCTAGAATAAAGTGCAATTGCACTTCCACTACATTAGGGGGCAGTGGCGCTCATTGGCAGAGTGTGCGCAGGGAGCATTCGCTCGGTGGTGTAGGAGTTTTGTTTGCACTGAGCATGCGCGCTTTGCACACAGCACAGAGTTTGAGTATGAAGTGTAGACACGAAGTGTAGCAGACCCTCAAGTGACACCATGAAAATTTTTTTAACAGGGATGAGAAGACAGGTGGAGAGAGACGGAGATAAAGAGACAAACGAAAATCTCCCGAAAGCTAAGACGAGGAAATATGACGAAGCATATGTAGCGCTTGGCTTCACTGTGACTACGGTGGGAGACGAGGAAAGACCGGTGTGCTTACTGTGTCTAAAAATGTTGGCAGCGGACAGCATGAAGCCCAATAAATTAAGGCGTCACTTAAATACATTACACCCCAATCACTCTGATAAGCCGCTTGAGTTTTTTCAGCGAAAACGTGCCGAATATTGCCGACAATCATCCCGCTTTGTGACTGCTACTTCAGTAAACCAGCGAGCGTTGTTGGCATCATATAAGGTGGCAGTGTTACGCAGAGGTGTACTTATAACAATTTTATAGACAAATGATACTATTTATAGTCACGCGGGGGGGGCGCGAGATGTTTTATTCTTCCTAGGGGGGGCATGACAGAAAATATTTGAGAAGCACTGGAGTACAGTATTGTGGCTGTGATGCGTTCACTTACCGGGCACAGCGTCGGTTGGATCGGGCATCCACTCCTCTGGGTCAGTCCCCTCCTCGTCACTCTCCTGCAGCTCCAGAGTCACTGGGTCTCCTCTGGACAGCTCTGAGGCCAAGTCTGTGCAGCCCTCAGCATCTCCAGTCAGACCAGCCACGATCTGACGAACAGTGTCCTCACGAGTCCTTAAACACACCACAAATACAGACTTAAGACCAAAGACTAGACAAGAGACGAAAGAGACCAGAGTCCAAACCAGAGATTAGAGTCCAAACCAGAGACTAGGCCAGTCACAATGGGACAAACAATGTCCTCACGAATCCTTAAATGCACCACAAACATATGATTCAAGAGCAGAGACCAGGGGCCAGAGCTGAGTTGAGACCATAGTCCAGACCAGAGACTATCCTGATTCTGATCTGATTCTAGACAGATAGATAGCAGCGGTCCCCAACCTCCGGACCACACAGAAAGAATATTATTATATTTTATTTTTATTTCTGTTTTATTTATTATCAGAGTCTGAACATTGTTTTATTTTGAAAAACGACCAAATTCTCTCAGTTGCATCTGTCTAAAAGTAACCTGTACTATAAGTCAGCGGTCTCCGTTTTTGCGCCACGGACCAGTTTAATGTCAGACAATATTTTCACAGACTGGCTTTGCTAACTTGTGGGTTTAATATTACTGTTAATGTATCACGTGACTGAGACAAGCATCTTGACATGCGTAAAGAATGTGTCAAGTGTGAGTCTTAAATCATCTCTCTGTTTTGGGTAACTCCATTATTCATGAGGGTCATATTAGCATCATTTTACAGGTTATGACATATCAGTGGTATAAAATATGAGGTTTGAATCGCTGATCCTCTGGTTAGTGGGCAAATCCTCACCTCACTCCCCTCACTCCCGTAGTGTTATTTACCGTAGGTACTTTCGGATGGGCTGACAGGCGACCTGCAGGATGACCATGGAAGGATCCAGTTCTCTCAGAGCTTTAATGGCTGAGATGTAAACGGTCAGAATATCAGACGTGTGAACACCTGGAGCAGAGGAAGAGTACGAGTATGACAACAGTTCCACACAATCCACACACGCTCTACGGTTCCACTCAAAGTCACTCACAGTGAGATTATGTCTTTGTGTTTTATTATGGTTGGATATAAACATGCACAGCACAGCAGGATTACACTGGAACTTTGAATGTGTTGCTTGTATGAATTCTCAGTGGTAGTACACAGAGTTTTTTACTATCAACAGTCCTCAGATAAACTTCAAATCAACCACTGATTTTACTGATAATAAATGCATATTTAATATAATATTTTACATAAGCTAAGAGAAAGCAGAATAAGCCCCTTGTTTTTGGTTGGTTTAATAATTTCACCTTCAGGTAGACCCTGACTTAACCACCTCACCCCAGAGCCGGGCGCTCGGGCACAAACGGATTGTATTTGTTGTGTAGAATACAGATGCGTTGGCACAGACCTGGGTGCAGAAGGCGACTCTCAAACGCAGTCTTCAGTGACGTGAGCAGCTGCTGTCTCTGGTTTGTTCGCTCCAAACAGAACTTGAGATCCTCGATCGCAGGTTTGGACTCTGGGAAATCTAACAAAACAAATGTAATCAAGTAAATGAACACAGCACCCTAATATCTGATTATTTTAGATATTTAAAAGACACTCACCTCGTATGATGCTGAAGAGCTCCTCGATCCTCATATTGACGTAGATTCTGCAGAAAAACTGGTGCATGTGACACCTCCACTGTTTCAGCACTGAGCCAGCACCCAAGGGACACCCAGCACCCAGGCCTGTTACAGTAACACATTTAAAGAAGAGATATATTGTTGAAGAAAATATAAACTATAAAAACTACAAACAACAATATTTAAATCAGACATTTTGTGCTCGCTATAGTTCTAATCCATGACACTTGTGGATCATTATGTTACAATCGAACATTTTTAAACAACTAAATAAAAGAAACACATCGGCTGAAATCACAGTTAGATTTTCCCAATTTGTACAGCCACATAAATGACCCAAACGTATTGTTCTATTTATCACATATTGAACGATAGTATCACACAGTACAGTATCGTGACAGCCTACCAACGGGCGACGCAGTATTCACGGGAGAAGCGGCGTCCATGGGAGAACCAGGACCCCCCTGAGGAGCAGGGGCTGTGGCTGGAGTGTGAGTCCGAGGAGAGAGAGGGGAGCTGGGAGAGGCAGCAGAGGAGCGGCCCCTGTCTGCTTCACTGGAAAAGACTTTACTGAGCCAACCCAGAACCTGCTCCAACCACTAGGGGGAGACAGAAAGAGAAAACAGATCAGAATAGTCACAATTTGAAAAAAAAAAATGACAAAGGATGAAATATTTTCTCCATGGGGTCTTATTTTTACTAAAAGCTGCTTAACCCTGTAGTTTAGACCTTTTTATCCAAACAAAGGTTGTATTGTGGTGACTGAAGGCATCTAGTCAGTTTACGTTTTAATAATGCCACTATCTGTGTTCTAAATATTCTGAATATGAATGCTCTGCGTTCCTATTTCTGCAGATGGTTGTTTACCTCCTGGAAGTCCATGAGGAAGGACCTTTCGTACTCTCCTCTGCAGTGTCTCTCCATCCTCTGCTCGATCAGTTTGTGCAGGATCTGAGTCACAGCCTTCGAACTCACCCACTCCAAGAGCTGCAGCTTACACCTAAACACAGGGCACATCTCTCTATATTGAAGACAAGTATACATAAGCACCCACTCCCAGAGCTGTAGTTTACACCTGTGAAACACATCTATAATAGAACAAAATACAATAAACACCCACTCTAGGAGCTGTAGCCTGCATACAAACACAAGGAACAACAGACATTATATCGATTTATCTGTACATCTGTAGTGCATCTCCTGACCAGGGTATCCCCAGGTTTGACTGCCCTAAATTTAAGACTTTTAAAGACCTTTTTAAGACCACTTAAATGAAATTTAAGACCAACATTGCACCCACTAAGCAAGCGGACAAAACAGATCCAATTCTAAAAATGACCAACCAAAGACCGAACTATATCTAGAATCTAAGAGCCACTGTGGATTAAATTTACACTTCCCCATGATCCATCCAAAGTCTTCCTCCACTCTACTGATTGTTTACTCATTGCCACCGGCACCAGAAACCAAAGTATTGTTTGTGCATACTCTATATTAGACGTTCATGCACATTAAGTGATTTCATGTTTTTTTTCCTCCCTCTGTTTAATATTACACTGCAGCCCGGTTGAATAAACATAAAAAATAGGCTAATGAAATTCAAGACCTTTGTGAAAAAAATAAGACTTGGACAACATCATTTAAGACTTTTTAAAGCCTTCATTTAGGAACATGAAATTTAAGACTTTTTTAAGACCCAGTTTTCTCATATGTGCTGTTTAGTTTGGACTTTATTGGTTCCTTCTAGGACCACCTAAAGATATATTTGGCTTGGAGTACCACCTGACCTAAATCCGGACTAAAACAGGACTGGAGCTTCTTTGAGAGCACCTGTGTGAAGACCTAGGCATGCACATGTGTTTTTGTGTCACACTCACAGGACATGGCTGAGGCGCTGTAGTTGCTCCAGGGCCTCTCTGCACCAGCACTCCTCTGTGTTCACTGCACACCCAGCACACAGCGCCCCCTCCTGGCCGTCTGCCCCCTCCTCCGGCACCTCCACTCCATCTCCCCCTTCTCCCCCCTCTCCCCCCTCCTGCCTCATGTACACTGAGAAGGTTCGGCTGTAGAACTCCAGAACTCTCTCCTCCAGCTCCGGACAGGGGCGCGAGAGGAGCAGGGCCCGGATCACTGTGTGGGCACGGTCAGAGAGTGAGACAGGGACAGAAGCAGGGGCAGAGGCGGACGCAGAGCTGAAGGGGGGCTGCAGACGCTCCAGGGCACCTACAACCAGAGAGGAGATGATTAAATACTGAAGACTTTAGAGAGTGGGTGTGTTGGTCTTTATAATGCTATTCACTCATCAAAAACATGCCTGAAGAGGTTGGAGATGTCATCCACACAAGACTGATAAGAATATCCAGGGCTGAAATTATTCTAATGAGGGCTGGAATGATTCTAACGAAGGTATATGCACTTATTGTACTACCACGTGACATCACAAGGTAGCGAGGAGTATTTTATGTTTGAGAGAACTGTGTTAAACATGTGTGAATGAAATGTTAGTGATGAGGAAACTACATTATAACAGATCAGAAAAGTGTAACATGGGCTATTTAACCTAAACAGAGACTCACGGAGCAGAGGGTCCAGTCTGTCGAGCAGCGTCTGAAAAGCAGAGACCAGGACCCCGGCACGGCCCCTCTCGTCCACGTCATTCTCCGCTCGCTTCAGTCCAGACCAGAACTCAGGAACCACAGACTCCGAAAGACGCATCTGCAGCGCCTCTAACAGGAAACCCCCCAAATAACACTCTACGCCGTGAGCTCTGAGCACAGACAGGGCGTCTGAGAGAGGCAGAGGGGAGGGAGACAGCTGTGGAGAGAGGACGGACAGTCAATATATGGTACAGAGGAGTGAGAGAGAGTTTATTATGGTACAGAGGAGAAAGAGCCAGCAGAGGAGCAGAGTCTTTATACTAGACAAAAAAACTAAGCAAAAATATTCATCATCAAATGTATTACTCAATTACTCATCATTTTCTGGATGCAACTGGGTTGGAGTGTGGCATAAGTTTCAACACTTAACACTCAACAAATACCATATGTTGCTGTTTGTAGTGATTGCTTCAGAATTGGCTAATAAACCTTTTGTGTAGTAGTCCTGTTCAGTTCTGGTATCGTCCTGTAAAGTCCTGGTAAAGTCCTAGTTTAGTTCGTTTCAGTCTTGATCTGTCCAAGATCAACTCCTGGTTAATCCCATCTGTCAGATCTAGATTTAGACCTCGTCAAGTCCTGGTTTAGTCGTGGTGTAGTCTCGGTTTAATCCCGGTTTAGCCCCGATTCTCTTCATAATGAAAAGCTAATATAACAGTGGTAAAGTGTCGTCCTCACCAGAGCCTTGGTGGCAGAGTCCCAGGCTTCAGAAAGACTCATGTTCAGAGTGGACTCTGCGGACTCCATCGCTGCCTCCTCCATTCTCACAAACTCTTCACAAAATCAGACCTAAACATACAAAAACATCCAGTAACAGCGGAACATGTCCCTACGAGCAGCGCACACGGAGGCTCCCGGACATACCGCACCGTAAAGTCCCGCAGTGGAGCTGAAATAGCCCAAAATGTTCATGTATTTTCATATTTTTGCAGCAGATTGTGCAGCATGTTTCTGTTCTCGCGGGTCCAGGACTACTTCCGGTCAGAGCTGACGCGCGTGCTGCCCTCTACCGCTGACCATAAAAAAGCAGTTAAAAGAGCAAGAATAAAGTTTAAAAAGTACTTCATTAATCAACTCATGTTCTATTTCTAATGCAGGACATTAAATATTAAAAAACACATGTATTAATGCTGCAATTTAACGTATCACGTGGTCACAGGCTGCAACTGAAATAATAGCTCAAATCTTTTAAGAGCAAAACTACTTCCGGTAATAGCCACCAAAATAAAAACAAACAAATAAACACACACACACACACACACACACACACACATATATAGAATCGCACGAGTTGAACTTGAGTTTTCAAATAGAGAAAATATGATAGGTTTATCTAAAACTATATTATTTAAGAATGCCCATACTAATAAATTAATTAATTAAAATGGCCACATGAGGTATCAAACTAGGAATAAAACATTAATTTCATGTTATCCTGTTTGCAACATTGGAATATAATAACATAAATTTATATCAGTACAAAATTTTATTATGAAATTAATAATATGATTTTATATAATTATACATTAATTAATTAATTACAACCTCCTCTGGCCTACGTTTTCCCTTCTTATTATTAATGCTCAGTGAGTAGAGCTTTACACATCAATATTTCACTTTTATCATTTTTATTTATACATTTACATTTGTTTACATTTGTAAATGTAAAACAAAGAAGAAAAAAGCAACACAATTACAAAATACTTGTTTTGTAAATTTGATCAAAGAAACTGATCACGAAATACTTCCAGTTTTATTACAAACTACTCTTTCTCTTGTGGCCACAGTTAAGAACTTCAACTAAAAGTACTTCCTGTTTGAACTTTCACAAGAAAATAAACGTCATTGTAATTCCCGAGAACCACCACAGGAGGGCAGTGTTTTCAGGCCGTCACATAGAACTATTACAGATCCATGGGCCATCACCTCTTCATGGATCTATTTTATTAGAGTTCTGTAGTTCTTGTTCTAGTCAGATTTTATTATAGTTCTATGCGCCTCTTCAGTAAAGTTCATGCAATCTATGACGATTAGGTGGTTTTTTTTTGTTTTTTGTTTTTGTTTATTTTTTTTTACTTATTTTTTATCAAAATAAAAAATGTGAAACTAGCCGTACAGTTAAACAGCAAAAACAGTTTGAAGAGTAATTATTTTAATATGATCAAATTAATTGTTTAAAAAACACTTTTCTTTCGACTTTATAACAAACTCTGCCCTTTTGTGGCTAGATGTCAGAACTACAACTAAAAGTAAAGCTAAAATTATTCCTTGCAAAACTGCTTCCGCTTTGGACTTTCGTAATAAAACAAATGTTACTGCAATTCCACAGAGCGACCACAGGAGGGTGGTGTTTTCAGGCCATCGCCTTTGATTAAAGCTGAAACATTATTTTTATTTGGATAAAAAAAATAATAAATACCTAGCGCACAGTTACACATCTCAAAACTCTTTCCACGACGAAATATTGAGTTGATTTTTTTGCACTGTTGACGTGGGAATTTTTTAGTCCACGCTTTTGTTTTGTTTTGGAGACTTTTTTTCCGGGACTTTTAACAGTTTGTGCCTGTTTCTCGGCTCCTCTGACAGACGATGGCCGGAGAGTGCGAGTGAGTGTGAAATCATGTTTAAAGCGAATAAAAGCTGTTAAAATACGCGACAGCCTGATAAATATGTTTACAATGGAGCTGGTAAACTGTTTTTATGGTTTGCAGCTCCGGCCCGTGCTGTTACTTAGCAAAAACATGCTAACGGTGCTAGCCTTAGCCCCCTGCGCTAACATGAACACAGAGCTTAAATGTAACAATAACACAGGTTGAAATGTTCTTATTGTGCAGTGTGGCGTCTGAGATCGAGGTGCTACAGTCCATTTATCTGGACGAGCTGCAGGTGGAGCGGACAGACGATGGGTAAGAGAATTTTAAGAGTTTTCTACAATGATTTTGACAGATTTTAAACTCACAACTTGGCTATTATGTCATTAGCAGTGTCGGCGTCATTTGTGGTTGGTGTATTTACAACTAGACTTCATCTGTAACCAGTCAGGAGGTTTAATCATTTATATTTTTGGTGCAAACTTCTCAAAGTCATGAAAAATGAAAGCTACAAGGCCTCATGTGTTCATAGTGGATGGTTGGGGGTGTGTGGGTGTATCTGTCATTAAGCAACTGGGTACATTTTAACATGGCCAGTAAAAATCAGATAACCTAATAAAGATTCTGATCTTTGGTGTGGGTTTTCATGCACAAGAGAAATCTGATCATCAAAAACACCGGGTGACACCTGCCATAGAATTAAGTAATTTTTAGATAAACTGTCTTATGTTGTAAGTGCAGTTAGCTTTAAAAGAACTTTTTAAAACTAACATTTTCTCTTTCATTCTCATCTTTGCCACATTAGTTTGACCTTTCTGTATTTTTTTTCTTGTCAAAACCTGCTCGGGTGTGAAATCAGATTAGTCTCATCAGATGGAACTGATTTTGAGACACTTTAGTAATCTGATTACTCCAGAAATCAAATGATCAGATTTCTGGTGTGCATGAGACATAAGCAGCATCTCTGGGGTTACACTTGTCATCTGTAGTCTTCAGCAGTGTGTGACACCTTTTTCCGGATTTCTACGGCCAGTAGGAATCAGGGCAGACCCAGACACAGGAAGAACATGCAAACTCCACATAGGAAGGCCCAGAGATTCTTCACATGTTTGCGCAGCCTTTTGTTAAAATGTCTCCATGTTATATTTAGTTTTATTTTAGTATCTCTTCTGTACTTGTGTGTTCCAGAGGTTGGGAGGTGCGTTTGGTGCTTCACCCGTCCACAGCTCAGGACTCTGTGTCTCAGTTTGTTCGCCTCACGCTCACACTGACTCTGGATCAGAAGGTGATGACAAAGAATTAAGAATATACTTCTAATGCACCACAACACCACAATATCTAGAATCTATAGTTGAACCTGAGCTAGAGACAGGTGTATGGTGGAGTTTGCTGTAACTATCAGACTGCAGATTTATTGACCTTTATATCTCTGTAATTACTGGGCCTATCCACATGAGACAAAGCTGGCACAAAGTTCACTCTCTTCTCTGTCAGTACAAAAGTGTGCAACAGCTTCAGAAAGTGGTGCCATTATTCAACCCCAAAAACGTGGTTGTTGTCAGTTGAAAGGACTTGGAGACATAACATTAATATGACAAGTTTGAGGAGCCGATCCCAAACAACAATCAACAAGAAGGTTCAAGGTTCAAAATAAGTTTGGAGATTTCTTTCAATAAATCTCCCAGACATTTCTACAAGTCCCTGCTCTCCATCTGAAATGATTCTTATGCTAGAACTTGAACGCAAACTATTCTTAAAGTATATTAACAATAATGCATCTTTATTTTCCTCAGTACCCGTTGTCCTCCCCCTCCATCTCCATTCATAATCCTAGAGGCCTCTCGGATGACAAAATTAACAGGTATTTATTTAGTAAATTTTATCTGTCACATTTTACAAATCCAGACATTTAAATAATACATCTTTTAAATTTTCTTTGTCTGTCCCAGTGTTCAGAAGTGCCTCCAGGCTGAGGCTCAGTCCAGTGTGGGCTCCCCTGTTCTGTACCAGCTCATAGAGGTGATTAGAATATTGGGTTATTTCACTGAGTTGAAGCTTTAATGAGTTTTTACATAAATGTGTTTTATATTTTCTTAAACAGAAAGCTAAAGAAATCCTGACTGAGAGCAACATTCCTCATGGAAACTGCGTCATCTGTCTGTACGACTTTAAGGTACTGCTCAGGTTTATGTTTGAGTAAAATCAGCTTTTACCAACTGAAACAGAGCATTTTCAACACAGTGATAGTACCTGTGTTACCTGCAGGCTGTTAATGTTTCTATCATGGGATTTTTGCTTCAAAAAGTTCTTTTTATCCCAACTGGCCACCAGAGGGCAGTACTGAAATCCCTGATGATTTACTTCATGCAAACACAGAGAGTGAAGGGGTGTCCTCTGGTGGTCAGGACTCTGTAGGTTTTCATAGCACCGCAGTTACAGTCATAATGGCCCCAGTGTCAAATTTTGACCAGCAAATCTTTATGAAACTGCACTACTCCAAATCATGTGGTATTTGTCAATATTCACTGGAGATTTAGGGTTGTGCAGTCACATATGCCCGTCAGCCAGTCACTGCTCTCGTTTTTGTGATCGGGCTGATTTTATCATGACTTCTATGGGCTAGACACTTGGACGCTGATTTTCTCTCTTCATTGGCACTTGAATGTCGTAATGTTATCCACATGTACATTGTATTCATTGCAGCTCTGGTACTTCACACAGACTCCTTGGTCAGATGAAGCTAATGGAGCAGGCCTAGAGTCTGAGGACTGAACTCAACTGAAGAATCGTTAAAAAGCTTTCGTAACTGTTGGTTCGGGTTTTATTATTGTTGAAACTCTTTTCTATGTCTGTGCTGAATACTGAATATTGTTTGTTGCATTTGTTGCTTTGTTGTTGAATGTTGAATTAAGCACTTATTTGTGCTGCTCTTGTCTCTATTGTAAATATGTGGAAAGGCCATTCACACTGAACATGTCTGCACTTTATGTTATATGTTTGTCTATTTACTGTTTCAATATATGATACCGAACAAACTTAACCTCCAGCCTCTGCCTACTCTCTCCCAGAGCTCACACATTACTACACTGTTTAACTCTACTGTCACTGTGTCCAGGAGGGGGAGACTCTGACCAAAACATGCTGTTATCACTACTTCCACTCTCACTGTTTGGGACGATACGTGCAGCACTCAGAGCACGAGCTGGAGCAGAGACAGAGAGAGCTCCAAGAGGACAAGACTCGTGACGACGCACAAAAACAGGTCAAGTGTTTCTGTAGAAACCACCAGCATAAACCAACACTCACAAACAGCTCCACTACACAATAATCTGCTTCTGTTTATCGGCCATGTTCAAACTTTGAAGCAAACTTGTGCTTCCTTCTAAACACTGTTTGCCCGTTAAACATTTGTGGAGATGTGAACCAAAGTTAGGTGCATCTTTCTTTGTGCAAACACATGTCCCATGTTCTGACAGAGTCTCTCCCACAGGAGCTGAATGTGGTGTGTCCCGTTTGTAGAGAATCTCTGAACTACGACGTGTCCCAGCTGCTGTCCTGCCCGGCCCCTCTGCTGCCAGAGGTAAGATCATGATGATTTCTTTAGAAAAACACTTTTTGTTTTCCTCCTTGTAGAGTGCTTTAACTTAAGGCTTAAGTTCTCGTCTGTGATAAACTTCATCATTTTCTGACTGTGTATTTCCCCTGGGCTTTGATAGCGTCATAAGCATTGTGTTGTATTTCAGGTGGATGAGGCAGTGATCAGCTCGGCAGAGTTTCAGCTGAAATGGAGCGAACTGCAGAAGATTCTGGAAAAACAGAAAACAAACGGAGGGATCATTGACCCCGAGGAGGAGTCCAACCGCTTCCTCATCCACATACAGGTTAGACAGTCTGCAGTGACACCTCAGACTGCACATGGAGTCTCTGTGTGTGCTGTGTTTACATTTATGTGTTTACGTGATCAAAATGCAAGTGGAGGAGAGGTGGGCCATATCCCAAAAAAATCATATGACTGTTTTCCTGGTAATTAAAGCTTTCTGCTGTTTCCACCTGACACTGTCTATATGATCAAATGTGTAGTTTGTGCTCTATTCTTTTCCATTTATATGAAGTCATTTTATCCATAGTGGAAAGCTTTTTTGCTGTTTGCGGTTTTGAAGACTTTAGTTTTTAATCTTTCTTGCCCACAGGCTCCCGCTGCATCAGAAAACCCAGACTTGGATCCCTCTTTGGACTTACCCTCTCCACCAAACCCTGACCCCATCACAGGGACTGACCCAAGCCTTCCCAGCATGCACCAGTGCAGGGACCCCCATAACCCCCGGAGACACTCCCATGGGAGGGGCCAACGACACGGGGGCAGGCAGCGGCCAATCACAGACCAGCTGGACCATCTCTCCCTTTGCTCCAACGAAACAAAACACAGCAAACATACAACGAATACACGACTACTGAAGGAAGACTACAACCATGCAACCCCCCCAGATGCCACAATGGAAGCCCCAAAAAGTGACCTGGAAAGGGGGCATCGAGGCAGGAGAAGAGGGCCCCACCACCACTACCACCACCCAGCTCCGATGAGGCATCACTGGGAGGGAAGAGGGTCCATCGGCAGAGGGGGACACCCACACTCACAGTGCTACAGAGGGGGAAAGAGCCAGAGGAGAGGCCCCCCTAACAGGCCCGTGGACAGGGAGAGAACCAGAGAGGAGGTGCTATGACAAAGGGCAAAAGGTTGTGACTGTGGCTCTCTGAAAACAAGTGTGACATATTACAATAGAAGTCAGAGCAGGAGACAGTGGCGCGTGTACAGCAGTGAGTGGTGTGGGTGTATCTGCTCTGCTCTAAGTACTTTTACGCACAGAAACAGGTGCTCGTGTTGTTGGATGTTGTGCCATATGAGACTAAGTAAATGCTTATTAAATTTTATTCAATGTCATAGCGTTTCACTGTGTTTTATTTTACTGAAAAAACTCTTATGTCCAATTTCACTGTGCACAAGAAGGTGGCATTACTGAACGTGATTGGTGATGAAAGATGGTACACATTTTTTTAAAAAGTGACCAAAGCAAAAGGAGGAATTATTAATTTACATCTTTTAATATAAAAGTTAAAAATTAGAGCAAAAAAATTAAAAATTACAATTATATGAATTAGCTAAAACTGGAATCATTATCTTTTTGACAATGTTGCCCCCTTTTAGGTTTTTGTAGTACTTTTATCAAAATGTGATGCTTTCAGTGATCGTACACAACAAATGTCTTCCAATTAAATATAGTCTACTGCAGTATTTCTCGTACAGTGGTATCTGTATCAAGGGTAGAACTCAGGATCCACTGCCAAGACTGGTTTGGACAGTTGAAATTTGATTTTGTCCATGTTTAGGCCTATTTCAGCCCTGTTTAAACCAGAGTTGGTTTAAGACTAGCCTTTAGTACTTTAGAAGCCAAATAACTGCAAGGTGGTTCACAGGTGGTTCCTGATAACTAGGGTGACCAGATTTTCAAAATAAAAAACTGGGACATCCCTGTTTTTTGGTGGTTGGTAATAATAAAATTGTGAAACAAGTGTGTAATTAAGGATAATTGGGACAGAGATCATTCATGACTGACATATGAGCAGTGTAGTCTAATTTCCTGCGTGTTAGGGTCATTTTTAAGCAGCTTTTCTGTATTTCGCCTAAACAAATGACAATTTATGTCTCTCTTTACTGTTGGCAGAGATCAGACTGGTCAAAAATAGAGACACCTGGGACATTTATTGTATAAATCTGAGACAAATCACAGGTTTTGGATAAATATGCTGGGACAGGGGACACAGGGCTCAAAACTGGGACTGTACAGGGTAAATAGGGACATCATCCTAATGATAATGCCACTGGTCTGCTCTACGGAACAAGAGATAAGAAGAGCATTTTATTTTATTTTATTTTAACCACATCATATAATTTACAACAGTAACGTAAATGAATAAATGTGAATGTCATTTTTACTAAAATACAGCTCAAAAGTTGGCTCCTTCTTCTGGTTGGAGGCGGGTTCTCGGGAGGAAGGGGCGTGCGGAGCCGATAAAGAAACATCCGCCTCGCCGCCGCCATCTTGGACCTGCCCCTCCGCGAATCTGCGCTGTTTTTAAAATCCCTCCATCACTTCTGCCGCTGTTATGACCCAACATGACCGGAGGAACCGAGTTTGAGAACAGCTACGGCGACAGCAAGGACCCGGAGAGTACGATGGATACCGACATGGACTCTGGGAACATGGAAAACATGGAGCGGGCCGAGCTGGAGGCGAGTGTCCCGGCTCCGTGCTCCTCCAACGGCAGCGGCGGGGAGGAGGACGAGGCTGAGGCGGAGGCCCGAGTGCGGGAGGCCGGGGGCTTGAGTAGCGGAGCCTCGGCCGACGGAGGAGCGATTCTGGGCGGCGGGAGAGAGCAAGAAGTGTCGGTGGAGATAGGGGAAACGTATTTATGTCAAAGGACAGACAAAACATGGCGTAAGTTGGTTTTAAACGCACGTAAATTAAACAAACGTAACAGTTGCTTCACCCCTGCGGACCTCGTTGAAATAAGCGCCAAGTTTTTACAGTTACCCCCTAAATGCAGCCAACCGTGACACAATTAAAGAGTTTCTTGTTTTGACTTGCAAGAGGAATATTTTGCACATAATTCGTCTTAATTGTGATATAGCTAACGTTACATGTGAAGATTTTTACACCAGATAGAAACTGAAACAGACTCAAACATGCACGGATCCAAAATAATAACATCCTCCGTGCAGTGAAGCATTTTCAGGAAAAAAGACCGTATATAGACGCTGATTTTCTTAAAATTGTCATTATAATGTGTTGCAATAATAATAATCACATTTTCAGTAAAGATTTTCACACTATAGCCACGTGTTTAGTATTGTTGTGCCCTAATTGCCCATTTTAAACTATCACATAAATAATTTCTAGCCTACATTACATTATTTTGGCAGTGAGTAGTATTCAGTTACCACTACTTTATCATCAAATTGTCCTATTAATTACTTAAAACAACAATAAGACATTACTGTATGTTCCAGTTATGTCAGGACAGATGAATTTGACAGGTCCATTTAACACTATTAACAGTGTCTTTATTCTATCTCACTCTCAGGTGTTGATTATACATCTGTTGTACCTTTGTTGGCAATTTTAAAGTGCCATGTACGTAACTTGGATCCTAATGACAAGTGAATTTCACACAGCTTCATTTTAGTGTATATCTATTTCCTCAGACACAGCCGAGGTGATTCAGTCGAGGCTGAACGAGCAAGAGGGCAGAGAGGAGTTCTATGTGCACTATGTCGGATGTGAGTATTAAACTGTAATTACAACACCCGCTCCCGTTTGTGCTTCAGATTATTCCATAGTTAACGTACGTGTTTCCTTACAATAGTCAACAGGCGTCTGGACGAGTGGGTTGGTAAGAATCGCCTCGCTCTCACTAAGACGGTGAAAGATGCGGTGAGGAAGAGCACTGAGATGGGGGTTGACCTGGGTGACCAACCAGAGCGAAAAATCACCAGAAACCAGAAACGCAAACACGACGATCAACCATGTACAGAAGGTGAGTGTGTGCGTACAATCACAAACACTATTATTTTACACTATTTTAACACTATTATATTTAATATTATTGTGCTTTTCCTTGATGAGATGTTATTACTTTGTCTGGAATGTTTCACAGTGTGGTATTAAACCTTTTCTATTTTCATGGAGACCAAACCAGACCAAGGCCATACCTCCACCAGTCCCTAGTCATGATTTCTGTCCCAAAATATTGCCAGATGTGTTTTGAATTAGACCTACTAGTTAATAACCTAACTACTAGACGTACTGAAGCTGATTATCTGCTCTCTCCTTTTTTTTAGACATACGCAGAAATGGACCCAACGACAGCCGCCCTCGAGAAGGAGCATGAAGCTGTAATTACATTTCTTTAATCATCTTTTGTTACATATTTTTTATCGTTATTTCATTCACTCTTTCCCACATTTGTTGACCAAATTCTGCGCTACTGCAGATCACCAAAGTGAAGTACGTGGACAAGATCCAGATCGGAAACTTTGAGATCGACGCCTGGTACTTCTCCCCGTTTCCAGAGGATTATGGGAAACAGCCAAAACTGTGGATTTGTGAATACTGCCTCAAGTACATGAAGTTTGAGAAGACCTTCAGACACCACCTGGTCAGTGTGGGTGACGTTCAGACTGGTGTAAAAGGGTGGAACCATTTAGGACTAATGTCTAACTGCTGCTTTGGGTTATTTACATATTAAAATGAGGATTCAGTTCACAGTGCACACGTTAAAACTAAGACGTAAGTGTGAACTGTCCCTGATTCATATTATAATTGTACACGCCACTAATGGGTGATCTCATACCGATTAACATACTGACTAATGCTACAAAGAAAACAGTAGGGTTAGTCAGTATGCTAATAGGTATGAGATCACCCATCTGACTAAGGGTCCATTATTGTAATCCAAGAATCCCATGTATTTCAGGACATTTTAGTTTAGTTTGTAGAAGTATAAAGTAAGGGGTTATAGCATCTTTTATCCAGATTAAGACCCCGTGGAGACACAGGGACATTTAGGTCTCAGTGAGCCTTTAAATGACATAATCAATCACAGCCTTTCCTTCATTCCTGTTCATTGTTTACATTTTTTTCCAGTCAAATTGTCAGTGGAGGCAGCCTCCGGGGAAAGAGATCTACAGAAGGAGCAACATCTCAGTGTTTGAGGTGGATGGACGCGACCACAAAGTGAGCAGCAGAACACAACTAAAATATCTGACATCACAGCAGAACGTGTGGATTTAAACCTGTTACCTGTTACAGATTTACTGTCAGAACCTGTGTCTATTGGCCAAACTTTTCCTCGATCACAAAACGCTTTACTTTGATGTGGAGCCATTTATTTTTTATATCCTCACCGAAGTCAACAAACAAGGAGCGCATATCGTCGGATACTTTTCTAAAGTGAGAACCATTTTTACACTTTTAAACTAACTGCTGTGAATTTGTAGTTTTTAAGGTCCTTATAACCAAAATATTGTTGGACTCCATCAGAGAAGTGGAAAAATATGTAAATGTACCTCTGTATAGTAGTAGGTTTCAGTATGAAATGATACTTAAAATGTATATGGTGTTTTTGTCAACTAGTGCAAACTTAGTAAATGTACTGTGTTCTGGTCAAAAACACCTACATTTACATAAGGCTGAGTTGTACATTTGTAGTGAGTATCATCTGTTACATAAGGCTGAGTTGTACATTTGTAGGGAGTATTATGTTACATAAGGCTGAGTTGTGCATTTGTAGGGAGTATTATCAGTTACATAAAGGTGAGCTTTTGTACAGTTGTAGGGAGTATTATCTGTCTCTTTCTGTAGTCTGGTGCAGTGGGTGAGTTGTTAGTACAGTTGTAGGGAGTATTATCTGTCTCTCTGTAGTCTGGTGCAGTGGGTGAGTTGTTGTACAGTTGTAGGGAGTATTATATGTGTCTCTGTAGTCTGGTGCAGTGGGAGAGTTGTTGTACAATTGTAGGGAGTATTATCTGTCTCTGTAGTCTGGTGCAGTGGAGGAGTTGTTGTACAGTTGTAGGGAGTATTATCTGTCTCTCTGTCGTCTGATGCAGTGGGGGAGTTGTTGTACAGTTGTAGGGAGTATTATCTGTCTCTCTCTAGTCTGGTGCAGTCTGGTGCAGTGCAGTTGTTGTAAAGTTGTAGGGAGTATTATCTGTCTCTGTAGTCTGGTGCAGTGGTGGAGTTGTTGTACAGTTGTAGGGAGTATTATCTGTCTCTGTAGTCTGGTGCAGTGGTGGAGTTGTTGTACAGTTGTAGGGAGTATTATCTGTCTCTGTAGTCTGGTGCAGTGGTGGAGTTGTTGTACAGTTGTAGGGAGTATTATCTG